AAGAAGGCGCATTCCCCATATTCCACCCCATCCCCACAGGGTCCCTGATAACCTGGTCCCATGGGTGGGCCTGTCCTGGGGCATTGGTGGCATTCCGGGGGCATGTCCCTTGCTGTGCCATCTCTGCCTCGCCCTAGTAAGACCTCTGTCTTCCTCTTCTACAGGAAAAGCAAGAAAGCCAGCAAAACCAGGGAGCCCTAAGGAGGCAGTTAGAGGTGAGTGGAGGGTGTAAAGTTTTCTCCTGTCCTCTGAGAATGCTTCTTTCCTTCTCTTTCAGCACTTGCTTGGCTTTTCTCTCAAAGGTTGAAATCAGATCATTAGAATCTTGATGTCTGAGAAAACAGAGTTGAAGACAGTGCTGTATCAAACCGAATGTGCTGCCAGGCAGTTTGAAAGTGGGAATCTGGGCACCTCATCATCCTTCAACCTGGCGCTTTGACAGGGTTTTAGGGTAGTCCTTTGGGCCCAATCTCAACCTCTCTCATTACAGGAGAGTCCAAGGATCTGGCCAGACGCCTGCAGTACTCCTCGCAGTATGTAGGAGAGTTGAAGCAGGCTCTCTGCTGTCTCATGCAGCAGAAGAACATGGACAGGGTGAGTCCTATTGCCTGCCCCATCCTCTGGCAGCCTGGCTTCCCAGATGGAGGAGTGCGCCTACAGGTCCTTTCTGCAGAATGGAGCGTCCTGCCCAGAAGCAGTATGGGCCATTTCTCGCAGCTTTTGTGTGTGGTTGTTAGCTGCTATGGATGAGTTGGGGGCACTATGGGGAGGAAACAGAGCTTGCATGGGGAGCCCTGCATGCAGAGCTTGGAGGCCAAGTGCCCACCCTGCCCTTACCTGGCTGTGGCCTTGGCCAAGTCCTAGGTAGGGGATATGGTACTTGTACTGTGAAGGTACAGAGGAGTATCTTTAGGATGTTACCATTTGTGTGGAGAGAGGGAACATGTGTGTGTGTGTGTGTGTGTGTGTGTGTTTATATACATACTATGATAATATACATAAATCATGCTTGAAAGTTGTCTCTGAACCATGCTGGGTCTGGCTGCATTTTCTTGAGGCCCAATAATGAGAAGCAAACTAGGAAACAAGGGAATTTATTGCTGTAATTGGATACAGGGAGAAGGCTGGAGTAATTCTATCAGACTGACTCAAAGTATTACAATTTTCATAGTGCTTATATAGGTTGGGGTTATGTGCCTGCTTACAGTATAGCATTCGCCTAGGTCTATTGGTAACTCATTTTGTTTCAACTAGAAGGTCAGAGGCAAAAAAAGTGCTTGCTAAGTCTGATTAAGCTGTGAGGGCCCCAGTACCTTCAAGGCCTGTCTACTGTGGTACTAGACAGAATAGTTATTTCTATCTTATCTCCCTTATAGCTTGGTTTGGAGAGCGACCTTAGACTCTCCAATGAATCAATTCAAACAGCTGCCTCTGTTACCTTCACTCGTCTCAGGTTCTGTCCACCTGAGAAAGGTCCTGGCACTAGGAATGGAAGACTCTTTCTATTATTTGACTTGCTCCAGGTTAGGGAGAAGCCTACGCAAGGCTCCTACTCACCATATGTTTCATTTCTAGCTTTGATATCTGGGCATGGATTCCCCAGGTTTAACTGTTTGCTCAATGTTAAGGCAGCTCTGCGGAAGTCTGTCTGTGTAACTGGAGAACCATGCGGACCTGTCTGTGTGACCGTCGTGAAGGCCTGTCTGTGTGATTGTCAGTGAGAACTGGCCTGCCATAAAAGGATTCATAAAAATCTCAGGAGAGAGGAACAGGGTGGCTGAGAGATACTTCCCTTCTGTACCTTCTGAGTTTTCGACTGTGCGACTGTATCATCCTTTCGAAAAGTGAACAAAAGATTAATTTCCTCCTTCATTTCTGTGTACCAACTCCCAGGGAAAAAATGGGCTTAGAGAATCATGTATACCTGGGTGTTCAAATCCCAGCTCTGTCCATGTGATCTTAGGCAAGCACTTAACCTCTAATACCCCATATTTTTTATCTATGCAATAGAGGTAGTAAGAGTCTCATAAGATGGTTGTGAGGATTACATGGGATCATGGGTGCCTGGTGAAGCCCTCAGTAAAGGTTCAAGCTGAGGTAGTAATAATGGTAATAACAATAGCATATAATCTGATCTCTCTGGGCCTCTGGTAGCCAGCTATACATTAGATCTCTTTCCCTGTCCCCTCCACCCTTTCTTTGAGGAACAAATGAGACCCTGGCTTGGAAATGCCTTGAAAAAATGTCAGGCATGATTAAGAGTGAGGAAGTGTTACTATGGAGTAGCTACTGTAGCTGTTCTGGCCAGCCAGCTGCTCCTCTGCCTGCTATATCCTGACTTAACCTTTCTGTTATTTTCAGTACGACAAGGAGGTAACCAAAGGGAGGGATAAGCTCAGGCTGGAGTTATACAAGAACAGGCAGGATGGGGGAAGGTGGGATGGAAGGTCTGGGACCCTTAGCATGGGTGATGTGCTGGGAGGTGGGAGGGGTGCAGGTGAGCATGGTGAGGTGATCACACAGGTGTGCATGTGTGCACAGCTCAGCACTGATGCGGGCTATGCCACTCACTCATGGGGTAGCCTTGGGCAACTCATGTCTTCTCTCTGGCCTGCCACCTGAGACTTTTGATTTGTGGTGTTCCTCCCAATGCCATGGTTTTGTGGTTGTGAGGCGAGCGTAGGGGGCTGATCACCAAAGCAGTTCTTTCTATTCTTCGTTCATTCCTTTCTCTACTGCTTCTGGCTGTAGCCAAAACAATGAGGACCTGAAGAGAAGCTTCAAGTCCTAGTGACCGAGAAATCAGGGATTTAACTCAACTTAAAGGAGCTACAAAAGAAGTTGGAGAGGGCCGAGCTCCTGCTTCAAGGTGAGAAGCTACAGTGCAGGAGGTCGTGGGAGCCCCATCCAGCTGGGACCATGGTCTAGGGATCACACAGAGTACGGGGAAGCTCTAGCCAAGAGCTGGAAAATATGGGTCCTGCCATAGAATCCTCTAGAGACTGCTAAAAATCTACAAATTGGAGCCCTGCCATAGACCTGGGGAATCAGGATCTCAGAGTTAGGGCTTAATTTTTTAAAAAATGCACAGTGGATGAAAGCCATTGTTTTATAGATTACACCTATATGGCTAGCTCATGAGTTCGTTTCTTTCCTTCTGATGTTGGAGCCAACACTTCGACTATTCGACAGTAATAATAGAGAATAGGTTTTTTGGGGGGGTGGGGATGGGGTCTTGCTCTGTCACCAGGGCTGGAGTACAGGGGCATGATCTCGGTTCACTGCAACCTCCACCTCCCAGACTCAAGTGATCGTCCTGCCTTAGCCTCTCAAGTAGCTGGGACTACAGGCACACACCACCATCCCTGGCTAATTTTCCTATTTGTAGAGATGAGGCTTCACCATGTTGCCCAGGCTGTTTTTGAACTTCTGAGCTCAAGCAATCTACCCACCTCAGCCTCCCAAAGTGTTGTTATTACAGGCATGAGCCACCATCCTTGGCCTGAGATATTTTTAAAAATTACTGTTTATTTCTGAAGCAAAGAAACTTGATGGTAGAGATCTTTTTTGACCAAGTTGTACATTGAGCCTAGCACTAGCCCTTTTAAGGGGCACTGTGGGGAATGGCCCAGGCTCCCCAGATCCAAACTTCTCAGAACCACCCACTCCTCAAGCTGGTTATGAAGCCCCTGATGCTAACCAGCAGTTGACAGCAGGCCATGGAGGAGCGGGCACAGCTGGAAGCACATCCGGGCAGGTGATGCTTTGCAGAGGGAGAGATGTGGGAGGAAGATGATACCAGGTGGTCAGGAGCAGGTGAGGACCAGAGACAGCCTCTCCTAACTTCTGTGCCCATTCCTGCAGGTGATGGAGTCACTTAACAACTATGGATGGAGAAAGATCAACAGGCTGGAAATCTGAAAGGAGAGTGCGCCATGTGGTGGCAGAGGATGCAGCAGATGTCAGAGTAGGTGAGACTTGACCCTTCGGCCCCCGCCATGGAAAGGTCACTTGATTATTCTGGACATCTGTGAGATGGGAGGAGCACAGCCAGAGGTGGTCATGGGTCTGGGCTTTGTGGAGATGGGGGCAAAGAGGGAGATAGTGGCCTGTCCATCTACCAGCTCCTCTCTCAATTGTCCCCATCAGCAAAGAGGAAAAAGTGCCTGTTGTCAGCCACCACGGTTGTCTCTATCTGTAAGTGGCTTGGAAGATTGACTACTATCAGGGTGCGAGAAATCATTAGCAGGGAGGCCAAGTTTGGGGAGCCCGCGAGGAGCTGTGGACTAAGAGGAGGGGTTTTTTTGAGAATCCAGGGGCCCTTATTGTCTGCTTCCTTTCTCAGCCGAACCACCACTCCCCCCGCCCCCTACTGCCATGGGCCCCCAGCAAGGGGCACAGCCCTCATCTGAAGTGGCACTTCTGAAGGCACCTGTGAGCCAGAGCCCTGCTTTAATGGCTGTGGGAGAGAGGGGATGATTTTCCTAATCTTCCTCCTTCCTTCCCAGTGCCATTGGAGGCAGACAGCATCGTTAAGTGGGTGGTCGGATTGCTTCTCACTGTCCAGAACAATGAGAACATGGAGATCACCAGCACACTTTAGTCTGAGCAGCATGTCAAGAAAGAGCTGCAGGAGAAGCTCAGCGGGCTGTAGAAGAAGATGGGGAGCAGTAGGAGAAGTTGGGGGAGCTGCAGGAGAAGCTGGGTAAGCTGAAGGAGATGGTAACCCCCACTGTTTGTGCCACTGCAGGGGAGAAGGGAAGGGAGGAGAGAGGCAGATAGCTACATTGTATGTTGCCCGGAATACCCCTTCCTCATCAGTGTTGTCTGCCCAGCAGGGGCCCAGTTAGGGTCACTCTGTGACACAGACTGGCCTTCTGGAAGACAGTGCCTTTCTCATCCCTGACTTTGGCACACCTTCCTCCTGCCTGCTGTGGCTGCCACAGCTCAGAGCCTGCTGCTGTCTTTTGCTAAGCTGCAGGGAGAGTGAGTTCCTCATGTTTGTTAAGGAGTCTGTGCAGTCCCTGCTTTGAGCTTTGGCCATTCAAAGTGCTGCCTAGCAGCCCAAGGCTTGGGCAAACAGTATCCACACCCCTGAGTGTCTCCTAGCATGCGTGACTGTCATGCTGACTGTGGCAACACCGGTTCTACCTGTTCCACACCCTGTGTCTGTGGCGCTGAGGTGCCTTCTCTCCCACATGGCCTCCTAATGCCCTGCTCTGTTCTGTGACAGACTCCAAAGACCAGCTGCTTCTGTACAGCCATCTGCCGATGATAGTGTGTTACCTGGCAGTGTCCCTTGCCCTGGTGCCAGTCTCACTAGGATGGTGGCACCTCAGGTTCATGCCTCCTCCTCCTCTGACCACTGCCCTCCTGTACCTACTATGGATTCTCTTCTCCTTTCACAGGTAGCTTGTTCACTAGGGCCAAGTGCCCTTCCTGGGGACCGGGTTGGGGGAAGGCTGAGACTGGGCTTTTCCTTGAGGTCTGGGAAGAGGGAACATTGTTCGAATGAGCTTGGGAGCTCGGCTCTACCCGTTGTGGGTGAGTCTTACAGAAACTGGATGACCATCTCATATGTTTCTTCCTATACAGAATTATGAGGCTGGCCCCAATCTCATGGATGGAAGCAAGTGGGTGTCTCCTATGGGGGCAGCAGTCTCTAGGCCGAGGGAGTCAGGGAGGCCACTGTGCAAGACCTTCTTTCCCACCGGGCCACCCCCATGTCTCTGCCCTTAGGACCTTCTCATTGACCAAGAGCCTGCGACAACTCTCCCAATAGCTCGGTGGTGTTGCTTCTGAGATACTTCAGAAATTGAGGGCAAGCGGGGAGTGTGGGAGGAAGGAAAGTATGACAGAAACTGAGGCAAGGATTCACGACAGAGAGGAAAGATCTTGAGACTGGCTGATTTGCTGGGCAATTTTGAGGAAGCCGCTTCTTCCCTGAACCTTCTCCTTTGAAGCTGTTCACATGAAGGAGCTGGATCCCGTGACTGGTGACATCATTTTACCCTGCTGCAGCGGCTCCGGATGAGAGCTGCTCGGGAGGGAGGGATGGCGGGGAAATAAGAACCATAAGAGAAGCTGGCACAAAGAGGTTACAGGACAAAGGGTCCAAGTTAGGCAGAAAAGAAAACGTTGCCAGTTGCTGGGGAAGAAAGGGAGTCAGAGGGCTTAGACTGGGAGGGGACAGAGCATCTTCACGTGCACTCTCCGCTCTTGTAGTCGGCTACATGTTTCCATCAAAAGGGTCCTGAATCATCTGCTACCATGAAAGATCTGGAGGTAAGGGGCCCTGGGCCACAGTGACTCTGCAGGCCAGCCCTCCAACTTCATCCCGCAGCGGGGGGTTGGTGCCCCTCTGCCAGCTGAGACAGCTCATTCCCCTCCCAACCCCAATGATTGCTCTCTACCCCTTCCACCCCTCCTCTCTGCATGTGCCTCAGAGCTGATGCCAAGAGGTAACAGTCACCCTGGAATTGAGTTATGTAACTATCAATCAATTCACTAAAACCATCAAGTCATTGGTAAGAGTCCAGTGGGGTCCCTGATTCCACACTCCAAGTCCTGGGCTCCAGTTTCCCTTTGGGGCCCTGAAGAAAGGGGTGGGGGGGTCCCTGGTGCCAAGGGCAAATGGGGACCTGGGGGGCCTAGGCCTCAGCTGGAGGTACCCCGGAGCACAGAACATGCAACATGGCTCTTCCATTGCTGCCCGCTTTGCCTACTGTCTCTTCTGCAGACACCTTTGCTCTAGTCCTTGCCACACACGCCCTGGGGTTGTTGCTTCTCCGGGAAATGCTAGCCTGATTGGTTGTCAGGAGCTCCATACTTCCGCCCTGGCTCAGTCCCTAATTGCCCTTTGATTCTAGACAAGCCACTTCTCCTCCTTGTGCTTGCATTTTCCAAGGAAGTAGAATTAGAGAATATCAAAAGTCTCTGTTAGCTCTGAGAGTCCATGATTGAAAGGTCCAGTAAAATGTAAACCTCAGGGCCAAGGGCTCCTGTCTGTCCTTTTGCGTCCTTTATCCCTGCTGTGAAGCAGTGTACCTACCCATATGGACTCAGTCAGTGTTTGCTCAATGAGTGCACCTTCTGAAATCACAAGCTGGCAGAAGGGTGGGCTTTCCTCAGACTCTGTCTCTAAAGGCTTATGTTACTGTCCTTTTGAGAGAATCCAGATTCAGACTTTCAGTTCGGTGGCTCTGAGCCAAACCCAACAAAGACCCAAATCCTCTGTCCTTGGGAGCTTGAGGAGAGTTTACCAGTTGGTGTTCCCATTGGTTTTGAGTTTTTGCCTTTAAAATCCATTCCTGGCCCCTTAATTTGACTCTCCCCATTGAACCAACAGAAGAAACAAATTGAAGAACAGCCGGAAGAAGTAACTGATTTTTCTTTGTTTGCTCAGGACATGACGGCAGGGTTTTGGGGCAACTCAGACCTAGAGGCACCAGTCTTGTCCTGCTCATTCCCAGCCTGGGGAAGAAGGGTCACCCTGCAGATTCCACCCCATCCCCACAGGGTCCCTGATAACCTGGTCCCATGGGTGGGCCTGTCCTGGGCATTGGTGGCATTCCGGGGGCATGTCCCTTGCTGTGCCATCTCTGCCTCGCCCTAGTAAGACCTCTGTCTTCCTCTTCTACAGGAAAAGCAAGAAAGCCAGCAAAACCGGGGAGCCCTAAGGAGGCAGTTAGAGGTGAGTGGAGGGTGTAAAGTTTTCTCCTGTCCTCTGAGAATGCTTCTTTCCTTCTCTTTCAGCACTTGCTTGACTTTTCTCTCAAAGGTTGAAATCAGATCATTAGAATCTTGATGTCTGAGAAAACAGAGTTGAGGACAGTGCTGTATCAAACCGAATGTGCTGCCAGGCAGTTTGAAAGTGGGAATCTGGGCACCTCATCATCCTTCAACCTGGCGCTTTGACAGGGTTTTAGGGTAGTCCTTTGGGCCCAATCTCAACCTCTCTCATTACAGGAGAGTCCAAGGATCTGGCCAGGCGCCTGCAGTATTCCTTGCAGTGTATGGGAGAGTTGGAGCAGGCTCTCTGCTGTCTCATGCAGCAGAAGAAGGCAGACAGGGTGAGTCCAACCTTCTCCCATCCTCTGGCATTCTGGCTTCCAAGATGGAGGAGTGAGCCTAAAGGTCCCTTCTGCGGAAGGGAGTGTCCTGCCCAGAAGGCAGCGTGGTCCATTTCTTGCTGCTTTTGTGTATAATTGAGGCAGCCTGGGGCTGAGTCAGCTGCGGATCCTGAACTTGGACTCCAAGTGCCTGCCCTGCCCTTACCTGGCTGTGGTCTTGACCAAGTCCTAGTTGGGGTTCGGGTACTTGTACCGTGAAGGTACAGAAGAGTATCTTTAGTATGTTACCATTTGTGTAGAGAGAGGAAACATGTGTGTGTCTCTGTGTGCGTACTATAATAACATACATAAAACATGTCTGCAGCGATTTGTAAAAAACTCAAGAGAGAAGAACAGGGTGACTGGGAGTTATTACCCTTCTGTATTTTCTGAGTTTTGGACTACACAAACATACCCTTCAAAAAGTGAACACAAGATTATCCCCCTTTCTATCTGTGCCCCCTACCCCCAGCTGTTAAAGGTGGAGGGTGTCCAGCTTCTTGTCATCTTGAACAAAGAATTGGACAAAACGCACAAACAAAGCAAAGAAGGAAGGAAGGGTTTTAGTGAAAATGCAAGCACACTCCACCGTGTAGGAGCGCACCTGAGCACAGGGGCTCAAAGGCCCCATTACAGCATTTTTGGGAGTTTAGTTACCCACTAGAGGATTCCATTGGTTACTTCAGTGCACACTGTGTAAATGGAGAGGATGAAGTAAAGTACAAAGTCATTTACCCATGGAGAGGATATTTCTCGTTATAGCTGAAGTGTGAACCGGCCTTATGTTCCTTGCCTCCAGACCCTATTTTTCTCCCTCACAGCAAAAAAAAAAAATGGGCTTAGAGAATCATGTATACCTGGGTGTTCAAATCCCAGCTCTGTCCATGTGATCTTAGGCAAGCACTTAACCTCTAATACCCCATATTTTTTATCTATGCAATAGAGGTAGTAAGAGTCTCATAAGATGGTTGTGAGGATTACAAGGGATCATGGGTGCCTGGTGAAGCCCTCAGTAAAGGTTCAAGCTGAGGTAGTAATAATGGTAATAACAATAGCATATAATCTGATCTCTCTGGGCCTCTGGTAGCCAGCTATACATTAGATCTCTTTCCCTGTCCCCTCCACCCTTTCTTTGAGGAACAAATGAGACCCTGGCTTGGAAATGCCTTGAAAAAATGTCAGGCATGATTAAGAGTGAGGAAGTGTTACTATGGAGTAGCTACTGTAGCTGTTCTGGCCAGCCAGCTGCTCCTCTGCCTGCTATATCCTGACTTAACCTTTCTGTTATTTTCAGTACGACAAGGAGGTAACCAAAGGGAGGGATAAGCTCAGGCTGGAGTTATACAAGAACAGGCAGGATGGGGGAAGGTGGGATGGAAGGTCTGGGACCCTTAGCATGGGTGATGTGCTGGGAGGTGGGAGGGGTGCAGGTGAGCGTGGTGAGGTGATCACACAGGTGTGCATGTGTGCACAGCTCAGCACTAGTGCGGGCTATGCCACTCACTCATGGGGTAGCCTTGGGCAACTCATGTCTTCACTCTGGCCTGCCACCTGAGACTTTTGATTTGTGTGGTCCTTTCCAGCGCCATGGTTTTCTGGTTGTGGGGCAAGGGTAGAGGGTTTCAAACAATCACCCAGGTTGGTGTCTTGAACAAAGAATTGGACAAAACCTACAAACACAGCAAGGAAAGAATGAAGGGATTTATTCTCAGCTGAACCCCCATCCCTGGGTCCCCCAGCAGGGTTGTCTGAGATGGAGCAACACCCAGGAGCAGAGGCTGATCACCTGCGGAAGGAGCTGGAGAATGTGGCAGGTGTAAAACCAGATGAAAGAAAATGAGGGCTTGAGTCACCTGAGTCAATCACCAAAGCAGTCCGTTCTGTTCCTGTTCATTCCTTTGTCTACTGCCTCTCGCCATAACAACAGCAGTAAGGAGCTGAAGCAGGAGAACTCAGCTTTGGCAGAGCAGCTTTGAGTTGTACTGACTGACAAGGCAGGGATGCAGCGTGACTTGGAGGAGCTGAAAAGAAACTAGAAATTGAAGATCTTACAGTTCAGGTAGGGAGGGGCTGCAGCCCCAGGGTGGTGGGAGCCCCATCCTGCTGGGGACATGGCCTAGGGATAATGCAGGATATGGGGAGGCTTCAGTCAAGAGCTTGTTCAGTATGACAAGGAGGTAACCAAAGAGAGAGATGCCCTCAGGCTGGAGTTATACAAGAACAGCCCTTTAAGGGTAACTGTGTGGAATGGCCCAGGCTCCTCAGATCGAAACTTCTCCTTTTCACCATCTAGTTTTCTAGCTGGTATGAAACCCCCAGTGCTAAACAGATACCAGATCATGGAGGAGAGGGCACAGCTGGAAGAGCTGGAAAATTTGGGTCCTTGTTTTGGTCCTGCCATAGAATCCTCTAGAGACTGCTAAAGTCTACACATTGGGGCCCTGCCGTAGACCTGGGGAATCAGAACCTCAGGGTTAGGGCTTCAGTTTTTTTTTAAATGCATAATTGATGAAAACGATTATTTTACAGATTACACTTAATTGGCTAGCTCATGAGTCTGTTTATTTCCTTCCGAGGTTCAATCCTACACTTTGACTATTCCATGGTTATAGAGCATAGAGTTCTTGTTTGTTTGTTGGGACGGGGTCTTGCTCTGTCACCGGGGCTGGAGTGCAGTGGTGTGATCTTGACTCACTGCAACCTCCCCTCCCCAGCTTAAGTGATCCTCCTGCCTCAGCCTCTTAAGTAGCTGGGACTATAGGTGCACACCACGATGCCTGGCTGGTTTTTGTATGTGTAGAGACGGGGCTTCACCATGTTGCCCAGGCTGGTCTCAAACTCCTGAGCTCAAGCAATCCACCTGCGTCAGCCTCCCAAAGTGCTGGGTTACAGGAAAGAGCAAACATGCCCAGCCTGAGATCTCTTTAAAATTATTTAATTTTTTATTTCTAAAGCAAAGCAACTTCACAGTAGAGATCTTTATTGACCAAATTGTACATTGAGCCTAGCTCTCGCCCTTTTAAGGGGCACTGTGTGGAACGACCCAGGCTCCTCAGATCGAAACTTCTTCCTTTTCACCATCTTGTTGTGTAGCTGGCGTGAAGCCCCTGATGCTAACCAGCAGTTACAGCAGGCCATGGAGGAGCGGGCACAGCTGGAAGCACATCCGGGCAGGTGATGCTTTGCAGAGGGAGAGATGTGGGAGGAAGATGATACCAGGTGGTCAGGAGCAGGTGAGGACCAGAGACAGCCTCTCCTAACTTCTGTGCCCATTCCTGCAGGTGATGGAGTCACTTAACAACTATGGATGAAGAAAGATCAACAGGCTGGAAATCTGAAAGGGGAGCATGCCATGTGGTGGCAGAGGATGTGGAAGATGTCAGCAGATGAGACCTGCCTCTAGAGCTCCTGCCTTAGAGAGGTCTCTTGATTGTTTTGGGCATCTGTGACATGGGAGGAGCACAGCCAGAAGTGGTCATGGGTCTGGGCTTTGTGGAGGTGGGAGCAGAGAGGGAGATGGAAGCCTGTCCATCCACCAGCTCCTCTCTCCGAGGCCCTTTCCCCCTGTATTTCAGGAAGGTGTACACAGTGAAGAAGAGGGTGCAGAGCAAGAGTTGGGTACAGCAGCTGGTGACAAGCTTGGCCGAACTAAGGAAGTGGATAAGCTGGGGTGGGGTGACCTGGGAGCAGGACTGGCATCAGAGGGCTGTGGGGGTGGCTTACGATGTCCCAAGGAGGCGGGTATGTGGAAAGACTTCGAGGCAGTGGGAAAGAGGTCTGTGCCAAAGATCATTAAGTCTTGTAATCTCCACGAGCCTCAATGTCCCCATCAGCAAAGAGGGAGGAGTGCCCATGCCCAGCTACCCACAGTCGTCTCTCTCTGAAAGTGGCTTGGAAGATTGGCTACCACCCAACTATGAGGAATCATTTGCAGGGAGGCCAAGTTTGCAGAGCCTGAGAGGAGCTGTGGACCAAGAGGAGGTTGTTTTTTTTGTTTGTTTGTTTGTCTTAGAATTCAGAGGCCATTATTGTCTGCTTTCTTTTTCAACTAAATCCCCGCCCCCAGAACCCTCAGCAGGGCCGTTCCAGAATAAGTATCAGATACAAGCAGAGGCTGGGCGTCTGTGAAAGGAGCTGGAGAATCTGGCAGGACAGCTCTAAGCCTGTGTGCCAAAAAAATGAGGGCTTGAGTCACCTGGACTGGGAGTAGGAAGAGAGGCTGCGAGAGCAAGAGGAGAGGCTGCTGGAGCTGGGGCAGAAGGCCAAGCTCTGAGAGGAGCAGGCAGAGGTGCTCAGGCAAACTGTGCAGAACGACCGTACCACCATCAGCCATGCTCTCCCAGAACCATGAGCTGAAGGAGCAGCTAGGTGAGCAGAAGGAGATGGTAACCCCTGCCCCATTCAAGAAGGGCTGGGAGGCAGGACCAGGCTCTGGGGAAGGGAGGTGGGAGGCCAGAGGTAGCTCCAGCCTGGGGGACAGGTTACCCTAGCACCCTCCAGGGCAGTACCATGACTTTTTCTTGCTTCCTGCCCTCTTACTTTTAGAGTTGGGTAGCCCTAGACTCCTCCCAGGTGTGGACGTCATTATTGCAGCTGGAGGCATGGAGCCCTCAATCATAGGGAAAGAGACAGTGGCGTGAGAGGCTCCTTAGATTCAAACTGAATTCTGGCCTCGGCTCCACTGCTCACCTTTGAACCACTTTGCACCTCTAAGTCTTGGTTTCTTTCACTTAGGAAGTATTTTCCTCACAGAGGTGCGGAAGCTTAAATGAGATAATACGCAGAAAGCATTTGGCACTTAGCACACCTAGCAGCTGGTGGCTGGCTCCCTTTCCTTAGCTACCTGTGGCCTGCAGGTTAAATGGCGGAAGCGGAGTGTGTGATTTGAGGCTGGGGAAGGAGGCATGGGGTTCTAGGTAAGGGAGGCAGTCACTTAGGCCTGGAGCAAGAGGCCAGGGGCCCAGGAAGGCGACAGAGTCCCACAGTGCCCTCGATACCCTATTTGTGGGCCCAGAATCTGGAAGCCAGCCACCACCTGCCCTCATGCCCAGGGTCTCCTGCAGGTGGAGCTGAAAAGATAAGAGGCTCAGAGTCTACTGCAGCAGCGAGACCGATATCTGGGTCACGTGCAGCAGTGTGTGGCCGCCTATCAGCGGCTGCCCTCTTAGGAGGAGGCGCTGCACAGGCAGTTAATTCTGCAGATCCAGCTCATTGGCCAGCTGCAGCAGCAGGAAGTTCAGGGAAAAGTGGTAGCAGAGATGGCCCACCAAGAGTTGCAGGATACCCGGGTGAGGGAGTTGCTGAGGGCAGGGCCCCGAGGGGAACGTGACCTGGCAACCTCCATGCCTTCTTATTCTCTTTCCTGGAAGCTGCTGTCAGCAGCAGCAGCAGCTACAGGCCCAGTTGAGTCTCACAGCTCTCCCAGGGTGAGATACAGGGGATCATTCCAGAGGAGAAAGCCCCCAGGGGAAGAGGGGACTGTTAGCAGCATAGGATTGCAGAGCTGGAAGAGACCTTTAGAAGCTGGTCATTATGCCGACTGCGTGTCTGCAGTAAGTTTGGCATCAATGTGGTGACTTGCGAGCGGAGGAGGGCCACCAGTTTGCCTGAGGATGGGTGAACTGGCCCAGGTCAGAAAGAGAGCAGGTCAGAACTCGCAGGTGGATAGGTAGTAGGACTGCACCAGGGCAACATAGTGAGATCTTGGCTCTTCAAAAAAAAAAAAGAAAGAAAGAAAGAAAAAGAAAAGACAGCTGCTCATTCCTCTTGGTGGTGGGGGGCGGGGGCTGGCCCAGGGTTCCACAGTGTGGGTGAGGGCAGAGGCGGGCCCACTGTGCCTTCCTTGTTGGGTTTTCTGAGGACCCCTCTGGTCATGCCACCCCCTCCCCCCATAGGAGATGGACTGGAGAGTGAGGAGGAGGAGGAAGAGGAGCCTTGGTCTATGCTGAGCATCCCAGAGGACCTGGAGAGCTGGGAGGCCATGGTGAGCCTGACTCCCCCTGCTCCACCTTTGCCGCCTCCCTTTCCGCTCCCTCCCAGACCACCTTCTGCTCTTGGTTTCCCTGCCTTCTGATTTCTCTGGACCCTCTTGCCTTCCCTGGGAGCCAGTGGTCAGATACTATTTCACCTGAGGTCAATAGGTGTACCCTCTGAGGCCCCAAGGGAAGGTCTTCTGTCTCCTTGCCCCATTCATCCTGGGTATCCCCCTACAAGAATGTGCACCTCTTGCCTGCAGGTGGCATTTTAAAACTTGGCTTTAGCCAGTGCCAAGGAGGAGGAGACATAGCTGTGTGGGCAACTGAAGGAGCGAAGGGTGTGCTGTCAGCTCCGGACTCACCCGGTGGCCTTGGCCCAGAATGAGCCAGAGGTGGCAGCCTCAGCCCCAGGGATTGGGGGCAATTCTGTGTGTGAAGACCCACCAGACCTTAAAGAGGGCCATAGAGAAGCTTCGGGTGAATGAGTCTCTCCTGGCATGGGCCAAGAAGGGTGGGGGTGGGGCAGTTCGCTGTGGGGGTGTGACTCCATTATTTTGACTCCAGAGCAGCTTTACGGTGCTTATGAAGGAGAAGGAGTAGGTGGAGAGACTGGAACATCACTGCATTCAGCTGTCTGAAGACACAGTCAGTCAGTGAGATGGAAGCCAGCGGGAGCTGCAGGGTGACCCCAGGGGCCCCAGTGTCTGAGCCCTGTCCTTTTGCAGGAGAGCACATCATACTTTACAAGAGCCAGAGGGCAGTGCTGAAGATGTGGCACCAGCAGGAGGAGTACATTAACGGGATTATCCAGGATAAGAAGGAAATGAAAGATGAGGGTAGGACATGCGACATCTCTGCAGGGGTGAAGATGGGGGTGGGGAGGTGTGGGCATGGGCACAGTGGCTGAGCACCCCTCCCTCCAGGCGAAGCTGCTGGAGCCACTGATGCTGCAACTTGTGAGTGGCAAGGCAAATCCCTGGTCGCTGTTTATAACCCTGCTGATGAGTCCACTCTGAGGTCCCCAGCTCCCCAGGAGCGTGGGGCTGCCACCAAGCAGGGTGGTGAGTAGAGCTCTTTGCTGGCGGGATGAGGAGAGGACTCACACGGCACTCAGAGCCCTGCCTCCCTCTCTCCAAAGATCTCCCACAGCATGGAGCCTGAATGAGAGAAGGCCAGGGAGGGTTCTCCCCACAGCAGCTTCACTGCATAGAAGATCAAGCAGCTGTTTCATGAGATGCAGAGCCCTCAGTAACACCCAAGCTTGGACAGCAGCCCCTGCATCCCCATTTTTTACCGGGCTCAGGAGAACAAGGAGTTGAAGATGACCATCATCTAAAAGCCTGCCACTGTCAGCAAAGCCTGAAGATGTGAGAGCAGAGGCTCTGCCCCCACCATGTCCCTGCCACCCCTTCCCAGTCATCCCTTTACCCTTACAGTAGCAAAATAAGACCCCTGTCTAATGTGGGAGGCAGGTGCAGATGAGGTGAAGATCACATCTAAAGCAGGCCACTAAATTAAAAAAAAAAAGTTATGGGATTAAAGAAGTTATGAAAAAAGGGAAAAATGTTATGAAAAAAATTATGAAAAATGTTAGTTATGGAACAGTTATGGGATAAAAAAGTCATGGGATAAAAATTTAAGAAATAATAATAAAAGCAGGCCACTGTCAGCAAAGCCTGGAGAAGTGGAGCTGGAGGCTCTGCCCCCACCGTGTCCCTACCACCCCTTCCCAGTCACCGCTTTACCTCCATAGTAGCAAGACAAGACCCCTGTCTAATGGGGTGAGGCAGGCAAGTGCAAACCCTTTGCCACCTTGGCCAGGGAAGAGTCCCTCAATTTCTGGATGATTATTGTTATTTAAGAGCCAGAGTTGATTTCTTTTGAGGAAGCCTCATGTCCTCTCTGATGGCCTTACTCTCATTCAAAGCAATTTTTCCCTCATGGGGGCTCCCATCTTGCTCAGAGAGGCAGCTGAGGCAGGACAATGGAGCTAATGTAGACAAGGTGACGGCACGGGCTGCTGGGGTAACCTCCCCCAGTGTACATATTGGATCTGTGTAATATTTTGTCTATTCCGGGGGTAGGGCCACCCCCTCTATCATACATAGTGGAGGTTGGAGTTGGCACATAGGGAGGAGGATCTAACAATTATTTGTGGCTGGGAAACTTATTTGATAGCTTACGACAGAGGAAGGAGACAGGGACGGGGTTGTGGCTCCCTGGTGATGCGACTCCTACTTATTTTCCTTTTAATTTTGGAATAAATGGATTTTAGCCACACTGCTTGGCCTGGGGTGTTCCTGTTTCCCTCGCTGGGTTCTGGAGTTTATGCCACTGAACAGAGAGCCCCAGTGTGTCTGAACATGTCCAGCTGTGCTGTTGGGGACCTTCCAGGCCTATTACCTCTATGATGCCTGGTGACACCTGGGGGATTCCATGGGGACTGCTCTGGAGCCCGTGGGAACAGTCTGGCCCTGACAGCCAAAGGTTCAGAAGGCTGATTTAGTGGTGGCCACAAAGGCAGGGTCCCAGCATTCAACAGCACTGTTTTCCATCCAGCTCAGGCATCTTCCGTTCTGTCTTCCTGCCTCCCTTGCCTGTCTGTGCCCCGTGGCCTGTTCTGTCTGTGCCCCCAGAGTGCCGGCTGCCCCACAGGCTTCCTCCAGGCTGAGTTCATGGCCCTGTGTGCTAGTGGCCAGAGCCGGCTTCGCAGGATGAGAGCCAGCTAAGCTTCAGGGGAGTTTCCAGGAAAAGTGTTCCTTGGAAAGGATGTGGCCCTTTCACTGCTCCAAACAGTACCCTAGTAATGGCTTGGCTTTTCCCTTCCCTTGAACTCCACAGAGAACACAGCTGGCAGAGGACACATTCCCCGTCATCCAGAATGGGTTTGATTCTCAGCCGAGGGACAGCAGGACTGGTAGAGACTGTCAGGCCACACGGCTGCCTGCATAGCACCCCCGTGCTTGGCGGGGGGCTGAAGGGATGGCGGAGACTGGCTCTTCACAGGCTGGGCATGACAAAGAGGCTCAATGGAGGTGGCACACTTTGAAGGGGCAACGTTCCTGTTGGCTACTGAACTCTTACTTGGGCAATAGGTTGAATGCCAAAATGAGGAACCATGGATCTTCTTCGCCTTGGTGTGATATTCTTGGCTTCTTGCCAAAGGTTACCTTACTTTTGGTTTTGATAAGGGAAGAGGGGACAAACATGAAGGCACTTGTTGACTAAAAGGAAGTCTAACAAAATGCTTCAGCATTGAAATGGAAAGAGAAATGGAAAAGCTAGAAAATAAACCTGTAAACAGACTTTTTCTCCTGTACTTCATAGAAGCTCAGGAGAAAAAGTCCCCTCTTTCCATACGGCCCACAGATGCCAACAGTGGGAGAGGGTGGCATGTTTGAAAAGGCAGAATAAGAGCCTATCCACAAGCCAGGGAGATTTGGAAGTGACATCAGCTACTCCTCTCCAGATAGAGGGGAAAGGACAGATCCTTAGAAACCCTAGAACTCAGTCTTTGTTACTGGATTCTCTTGAGCAGCAGCTTGGAAAGACAACGAGGGGAAGATTTTTAATTTCACTTTCTATGAATTATGCAGCCTTTGGCTGAGATAAGCCAAGAGCCTCTCAGCAGGACTGAGAGTTTATTTGGGCAGGAGAGATTATGTGCAGATCAAGGAACCTAAGAAGAGCCTGCTCTGAAGAATGCTGGCAGCATCACAAAGGGGTGGAGTAGGAGCTGGAATACAACACCCAGACTCCAGAGACTCTAGGGCACACCTTGGGAGAAGTTCCAAATGTGGGCCCTAGTGATGCCATCTGCAGCAGAGAGAGCAAGTTCCAGAGAAGATGGGATGAGGAGCCATAATTTGATGGTGAAATGTCTTATATATCAAATCTTGGTAATTGTACACAACTCTGCGTGTTTTGTGTTGTGTAATTCCATTAATACATGTTATTTCAGGAAAAGTGGATAAAATCTAATCATCTCTCCCACAATATGTGTATACAAGTGAGTGAGGATGCCGCAGCTGCCTACCTGGCAATCCTAAAATATCCAACTAACACTCAGGGGAGCCATAAACTTTAAGGGTCTAAATCAGCCACTACTCTTGTCACTGGGTTCCCTGGCCCAAGTATAGTCTCAACCAATCCGGCAGCCATGGACCCAAATTTGGGGTGATCACAATCAGTCTTTCTCTACCGTATCCACAGAATGCCCTGCCCACCCCAGCCTTGCACCCGACTACAGCCCAACTTACAAGTGCATTATCATTGTCCCTGCCCTTAGGAGAGCATCACATAATTCACAAGCAGGGGACTGAAGAGCAGGGAGTTGGTTTCATTCATCTTCTTTCTCTTTATATCTAGCCTAGTACATGGTATGGTCAGGCTCTGAACATTTATTTTTTAAGGAATAAAAGAGGAAGGGGAGAAGAAGGAGACAGTTGGAAGACAGAGAATTTATGCTTGTGTGTAAACATGAAAAGGAGAATACTGCAAGATGACTCTCAAAGAAAGATCATGTGGCTTTTTCCTCTTCATTCTATTAATTCGGTTTATTACATTATGACATTGATTGATTTTTGTATGTCAAACCACTCTTGCATTGCTGGAATAAATCTCTATATCCTGTTATGCTTTACTGTTCCATCTTTTATTTATTTATTCATTTCCTGCTAAATGTGTACATGTTACCTCTGCATTTGTCTCTCTTTTATTGCTTGCATGTTTTGCTAATTTTCCTAAATAAGCACAGTATATTTCACTGTCAAAGGCAGACTAGAACCAACTCAGCAATAGATGGCAGAAGGACTCAAAGAAAAGGGCAGTAGTTAACCAGTTACAGAGGCAGAACACACCGGCCTAAGTCAAGATGAGGTTGAAATGTCTATTTGTTCCATGCCCCAAAATTTGTGGATCAAGAGTGCTGACCTCCCTGGAATCTTGTAAGATTCTGCCCTAGAGAATAGACAAAAGAGCTGCCATCCTTAGGGTCTTGATATGAACTACTGAGAGGCTCCTTAACCAATGGGAACATGTCTCTGTAACAGCGTTTTGGGAATTTAAGGAGCATCAGGGAAACCTCACTTTGTTAAAGAGATAAACCAAACCCTGCTAATAATGCATTTGAGTATACCATTGGAGCTTCATTTCCTTAGGTGAAGTGCCTGGACCTTCTTAAATGTTAAACACTTTGGGATGTAAATGATCAGCTCTTTTACCTCTACATGAGTAAGTTGTGAAAAGAACATGAGATGGAAGAGGAAGGTCAGAGGTACCTGGGAAGAGGTTCTTTAAAAAGGGTGAAGAGTGCACAAAATGTAGGCTGAGAGATCTATTAGCAAACTTCCCCATTGTACAAATGAGCCTGGGGAGGGGGGGGTCCAAGCAAACAGTGAATTTGCCTTCTGCAATTAAGATGTGAATTCCTCTTTAAAAAGGTGCTTAGCACAAGTCACAGGCACAGGATTCAGAAAATACACTAGAAAAAAATCTCTCTTCCAAATTTTAGTTTTCCAGTTCTGGCTGTGCTACACTAAAGCTTTCCCAGTTTCCATTAGCAGGGGAAGGAGTATAGGGTCTTTTGAGAAGTCTAAATTCCTGAGTGTGCAGCCTCCAGCTCTAAACTTTTCATCACAAACCCATCAAATAATGTGTTTCTGGACCCAGTCCTGGATCCCACAGATTTAACTGCTGTGAGGACTCCCCGTCCCTTATTTATTTATTTTTTTTTCCGAAAATCTCATTTTGGTCTCACCACAAACTCTTGAATTCTCATAAGATAGGTGTATCTAGGGAAATCCTACTTTCTAAATGTAAAAAAAAAAACTTTAAAATACCCAAATAATTGTATTTCAATTAGGTTTTCATTTTTTAAACTGCTATCATTTATTTATTTTTTGTTTTTAACTTTGAAGTTCAAGAGTACATGTGCTGTGCAGGTCTGTTACACAGGTAAACTTGTGTCATGGGGGTTTCTTATACAGATTTTTGTCACCCAGGTGTTAATCTTAGAGCCCATATACCCATATTCCTGATCCGCTCCCTCCTCCCATCCTCCACCCTTCAATAGGCCCCAGGGTGTGTGGTTCTCTTGCATGTGTCCATGTGTTTTCATCATTTAGCTCCCACTTATAAGTGAGAACATGTGGTGTTTGGTTTTCTGTTCCTGTGTTAGTTTGGTAAGGATAATGGCCTCCAGCTCCATCCATGTTCCCGCAGAGGACATGCTCTCATTTTTTATGGCTGCATAATATTCCATGGTATGTATGTACCACATTTTCTTGATTTAGTCTATTATTGATGGGCATTTAGATTGATTCTATGTCTTTGCCATTGTGAATAGTGTTGCAATGAACATACACAAGCATGTATCTTTATAGTAGAATGATTTAGAGTCCTCTGGGTATCTACCTAGTGTTGGGATTGCTGGATCAAATGGTATATCTATCTTTAGGTCTTTGAGGAATTGCCACACTGTCTTTCACAATGGTTGAACTAATTTACACTCCCACCAACAGTGTGTAAGCATTTTTTCTCTACAACCTTGCCAGCATCTCCTATTTTTTTTACTTTTTCATAATAGCCATTAAATTGCCTTTAACTCCTAATTTGCAGTCATTCCTTGTCTAATTTTAGGTGACAGAGCTACTGACAATTAGATTTGCCCCAAGGATGGCTGCAGTGATAAACACCCCAACGGCTCCATCTTTGCCCAGCCTCTTTGCCAAACAGGAGAATGAACATTCATCCCTCCCTGGAGAGGTAGGGAAACCAAAAGGAATCCCACTCCATCAGGGATGGTCAAGTGGGAAGTGGAGTGGCTGAGTCCCTGCAGTGCATGCAGAGGCTCACCTCCAGAGCTTATTGTAGGGGAATCCCTCCCTAGCCTTAAAAGAACCTATTCTTATAGTTTTCAAGCTTGTTTAACGTCAGTATGATCCTAGATCCTTCCAGATGATTGGTGTTGCAGACGTCGTAGAGAGGGATAGCCGTGAGTACCCAAGAGGTGGGGAGAGGGCACTGAAAGAATACACTTGCCCATTTCACAAGCTCATCTTCTGATTTTCATTGATTTATTTATAGAAATTAGGTTTTGCTCTGTTTCCCAGGCTGGAGTGCAATGGCACAATCATAGCTCTTTGGAGTCTCAACCCCCTGGGCTCAAGCAATCCTTTTGTGTCAGCCTCCTAAGTCCCCAGGCTACTCTCTAAGCCCTGGGCTGAAGTAATCCTCCCACTTCAGCTTCCCAAAGTGCTAGGATGACAGGTGTGAGCCACCAAACTCAGTCCTCACCCACTGAGGGCTGCTCTCTCCCAGTCATGCAGGGCAGAAGCTACCAACAAGAGGAATCCCACCCTAAGGCAGCCAGGTCCAAGGTTTAATTCTCTCAGGTCATGGTGGGACTGTGGATTTAGGATTAGGGGTGAAGTTGAGGTTTCAGAAGTAGCTCTAGGACTTTTCTCTATTTTAAGTCTGCTTGTGAGCGTTTCTGTTCATTTTCTTACGTCAAAGCCACTCAGCAGCACCTACACTGTTTCCAGTCACTTAAATGGTGCTCATGACTGAGGCTGGATTTCAACTTTTTTAGCTTGGTTGTAGGGATCCATGAGCCCCACATGTTGGGTGCCAGAATGTGGGGAACCAGCCCTACATGACCTTTGGGTACTCCATGTTTGCTGGTGACAAAGGAATGGGAAAAAGACAGATTAAGAGAGATAGTGGGACCAGGGGGCCATCACTTATGACTTTGGAGGAGACAGTGAAAGCCCGAACTCTGATTATCCACACTGTGTGGTTGCAGCCACTTTGATTTACAGGGTAGGGGTGGAGTGATGGTGGAGTGACTCAGTGAGCCAGAAGGGAATCAGTGAGGTGGAACTGGTATGTCATCCTAACGATTGATAACAGTGGTGGTTTGGGAGTGTCACAAAACAAGAACATGTGGTTATCTTTAGCTCATTATCTATGTGCGGCTGATGGAACTCAGGCCTTACAAGGAGCCTACAAGTCTGGCTACATCATGGTGCTTTGAAGGGTTTTACATCCTTGAGCACAATGTTTATGGTAACAGAGCCTAGGTCACCCTGCACCGGAACATGAGACATGGAGAGGCCTTCCAAAGTTTGTTGTTCCTTGTTGCTCATAACCAATTTATGTAGGCACTCTGTAAGTCCTTTCTCCTTTGCTGCTTTTCCCAACACTTGATTAGAAAGGAAGGCTAGTTGGGAGCACATCAGCTAGTACTCACCAGAGGCCACTTGTGCATTAAAGAGTTAACATAGCAGGCCTGAGACTGCTATCCTTAAAAAGAATGCCTTGGCTGGTATCTGGGAACATGGGTTGAGGGTTCCAGACTTTTGGGAGTAGAGCTGAGTAGGAGAGAGGAAGGTGAAAAACAATTTTCTATCATTTGGTCCCAATATATCCTTGTCTTCTTCCATTTCTGCTCCTTTCAGACACATCCCTTAAAGCTACCTTTCTCATATCTCATTTTTCTTCCCCCAGAATTACAGGAAGACATTCTTTCTAAAGAGGCTCACCAACTATACCAGAGATGCCTGGGCTCTATTGCCTGTTTGAATGACTGGCTGCCGGTTGATAGCAGTGCCCTTCTTGCTCATTTCTGATACTGTGAGTTTTGATTTGTATCTTCACTGCCTTCTTTTAACATCTCTGTTTTAGATTTGTTTCTTCCCTCTCCCTCTGCTATGGTATCAATCTACATTTTTTGTTTGTTCTGAAGTTGTTCTTGAATCTGTTTCTGTATTTGTCTCTGACATAATTTCAGTAACTGTTTGGGTCTTCCTTTCACAGCTAAATGCATTAAAAGAAATCCTTTCTAGGGAGGCCTAGAGAAAGAAATTATCTGAGTACATGAGTAGAACTACTTTAATCATCTATTTGTGAACAAAGAACAAATTTTTGCTGTTGTTTTGGGCCCTAGTGGGTCAGAAATGATTAGATAATACTCATGCTTGTCAAAATCTGTGCTCTGAACTGACTGCCTGCAGGCTCTCCTAGATTCTGTCACCAAAGACACACTAACATCCTTCAACAAAAAACCTCAAGAGGTAGTTTCAATACATTTGTGGAGAAAACACAAATAAGACTACAATAACAAAAAAAAATTTTTTTTAACCAGAAAAAAATAAAAGGAAAAAGATGGTTTCAGGCCCCACAGCTGACCACCACTAAGAGTCAATATTTCCAAAGCCCACTATCTTGATCAAAGACTTGGAAACTCCCTGGACTATCCTTTTTGACTGGTCTCTTTGGGTCCAGGTAACTGAGAACAGCCAATGGTATTAAAACTAAGCTGTAATGGCCTCCTGCCCACCACCTCCTCTTGCTACAAAGGCAGAGCTCAGTACCCTCATACCCACATGTGACTGTCAGTCCCAAAAGGTTGTCCATCACTCCTGGCAGTGTTTCCAGGGCTTCCAGACAGGGTTCCGAGGCTTCCTGGGAGAGTTTCTCCAAGGATTTCAGCAGGGCCTCCAAGACTTCCTTTTTAGAGGTTTTAGATAGTTTTTGTTAAGATTTCAAGGAGACCATTGCAGGAACTATAAGACTTATCAAGGTTTCTAAATTTCCACTTATGGGCCCTAGTGGAGGCTGTAGATTTAACCCATGGACTTCTAGGTATTTTGGGCAGCAGCTTCTAGCACTGTCTTCTTCAAGGTCTCAGGGAGTAGCCGATTATTATTAACCAGGGAGGTTTCTAGAGGGTCCAGTCAGCATATGCTTTCCTCAGCCACCTCTTTTCATTCAGTCATTCAGCAGACATTTAAAGAGTACTATATTCTAGGCACTGAGCTGCATCAAACTTATGCCACATAGCATCAGCTTCAAAGACCTCACAGATGTGACTGCTCCCAGGACTCTCCCTCTGGAGGGGGCTGTCACCATCTGTTGCTGTCTTGAGCTCCCACAAGGCCCCTCATCTAGAAGCCTTGCTTCGCTGCCAGGTGGAATAGCTCAGGGTTCTCCTTTCAGTTCTGTGGCTGCACAGCAGTTAGTCTTGCAGTCCCCCGTGGCAATTTTGTCATGCTAGATGACAACATCTTGAACCTGGCTTTTCTGGCTGCAACTGAGAAATTGTGAGTTAGGTCCATGGGCTGGGTTCTGAAAGGACCTAATCAGTTCCAAGCACCTTAAACTCCAAGCTGGGAAGTTTATATATTCCTCTAAAGAAAAATGCCTCCTTTAATGGTGGTAGCCAAAGAAAAACTACATTTTTGCCTGGCAGAAATGATAGCCTATTATCCCACCTGTAGTACCTGCTCGTTGAATAACTAATTGAACGTTGCCCAGCCAATTCATATGCCATTGTTTCCTTGCACGCTCCCCAATCCTAGAGAGGGCTTGAGCCTTTGATATGATTCGGATGTTTGTCCCCCTCAAATCTCATGTTGAAATGTGATCCCCAACGTTGGATGTGGGGTCTAGCAGGAGGTGTTTGGGTAATGGGGTCAGAATCCTCATGAATAGCTTGGTGCCATCCTCATGGTAATGAAAGAGTTCTCACTCTGAGTTCATGTGAGATCTGGTTGTTGAAGAGAGCCTGGCACCTCCTCCCCTCTCCCTTGCTCACCCTCTTTTCCATGATATGCTGGCTCCCCCTTTGCCTTCCACCATGAGTAAAAGCTTCCTGAGGCTCTCACCGGGAGTCAATGTTGGCAGCATGATTCTTGTACAGTCTGCAGAACTGTGAGCCAAAGAAACCTCTTTGCTCTATAAATTACTGAGTCTCAGGTATTTCTTCATAGCAACACAAATTCACTAACACAGCCCAGCACTTCTTCAAGTTTCCTTTGCTGGCTTCACCGCCACCAACTAGAGCCTCCAGCAAGGCTCGCCCTGCCCTAGTCCCTCTCCGGGCACAGTCAGCTTTCCCACAGCTGATCCTATACCAGTTCTCCAGGCAGCTGAAAGCCAGAATCACCCCCTCGGTTCCACACATAGCAGTGCCCAGGACAGTTAAGCCTGTCTTCATTCAGAGGCTTTTCCTCATTCAATAACTTCTTCATTAAGTCCTTCATTCAGTAGCTCTCTTGAGGAACTTATGCAACATTGGAGAGAGAAGACTCTGGCAGTAGTCTCCCTTTCCACGACTTTCCTAGCTACTTTAGATATTTACATAAATATTCAAAGATTATTTTGTCTGATTTTGAAACGGCAGACAAAAGGGCTCCTTAAGAAGGTATTTTGAAATCTCCCACTGACTTGTGTGTATGTCTCTCTCTTTTTTTTTTAATAGAGACAGGGTCTTGCTCTGTCACCCAGGCTGGAGTGCAGTGGAGCAATCACAGCTCACTATAACCTTGAACTCCTGGGCTCAAGTGATCTGTTCCACCTCAGCCTCCAAAGTAGCTATTTTTTTAATTAAAAAAAAATTTTTTTTAAATAAAAACAGGATCTCACTGTGTTGCTCAGTTTGGTCTCAAACTCTTAGCCTCAAGCGATTTTCCAACCTTGGCTTCCCAAAGTGCTGGGATTACAGGTGTGAGCCACCCTACCTGGTCTGAGTTGTGTTTTTAAAATCATGATTCTCTATGCATCTCTAGGTTTTTGCTTATTAAAACACATAGGTGCTAGTGTGTGGTGTGTATGTTTTTTACATAATTTATTCAACCTAGCCTAATACTACTGCTACTATTTCTGTGTGAGTGTGTGTTTGAATTTGTCACCTACTTTATTTCAATTCCTTTGGAAGCATTTTGTTTTAAGTATACTTCTTGTTCAACAATATATTATACTATATTAGAAAAAACAAAACCCAATAACGTAGTCTCTTTTAATTGAAAAATTCAGCCCATTCACATTTAATAAAATAACTGTTATACTCCCTTCTTTTTTTTCTTTTCCTTCTTTTTCACTTATTCTCCCCATGCCCCCGTTGATTTAGAAATTCTACTCTATTTTCCCATTCTGCTCATAATTTCCTCCAAGTTTGTAACACTCGTGATCAGACACATATTTCCTTACTAGTAAATAAAAAGGCATCTTCCTCTACATGTCCCCCCTCAGCAAACACACAAATTCCACAGTAGTCAAGACAAACATGCCCAGCTATTAGGCACACCCAGCTGGGGGCAAACAAGCATAGTGGGCTCAGACTTGAGAATGGGACTCCAGGGGCTCAAAGTCCCTGTCTCCATTGATAGACTAGCTCTTACAATCCCCAGTTACTGATATTCAAAGCCCCCCTTTTAAAGCTGAAGCTGTCTCTTGATGTACCTGTCATCAGACCTCTCAGAAAAGGTCAGATAGGGACAGATTTAGGAGAAAATAAAGGCCTGCCCTAAGACACAGGGGAGAAAACTATAAGAAATGGTGAAATGTACCCAAGAGAAGTTGAGGGATTTGACTGTGGGGCCACTCTGCCTGGTAGTAGTGTCTCTCAGCAGGTGTAGAAGCTCTCCAGCACCAATGCCTGGTGAGGCGCTGTGTTCTAGACATGCATGGGAGAAGGGAAAAGGCAAGACACCAAGAGTGCCCTGACGGGTCACAGCAGGGGAAGGAGGAGAGGGCAGGGTGGGGGATATGGTGGGTAGAGAGGGTGGATGAAGGGCCCCTGCTGGAGAAGTCATCAGGCCGAGTTCCCAGACAGGCTGGGCTTCCAGACTAGGGCCTTCTTGCTGTGGAGGAGGTGAGATTTGGACTGGGAAGGAGGGAACAGTACCCCAGGGTCTTGTGACTCAAGTATTTCCTCTTAGGGAGTGTAGAAGTGTGTGGAGGCAGTCAGGTCAGAATGGGATTGGGAACGAGAGGGCCTCTGACATTTGGCCCTCAGCTGGGCACTCAGGAGGTTGGATCAGAGCCTGAGAGAGATTCTCCATGCCCGCTGGGGGAAGATGGACTCCAGTTCTGGTCAGACTCCTCCAAAGATCCAGGACCCTGGACCCTGGCACACCTGAATGGGCTGTAAGGGTCAGGAGCACCCATCCTTCCTCACAGTCTGCAAAGGACCCTTTGGAAAGGAGGAAAACATCTTAGCCCCACTCCCTCATACTGGAGTCCAGGAAAATAGTCCAGGAATCAGATGAGAATAGGACAAGTGCTAAAGGCAGCTAGAAGCATCCGGACTAGACGCAGGTAGAAAAGCAGGAGTGCTGCTGGCTCTCGTTAGCTCAGCATTGACCTCCACAGGCGTTGTGACGGGTGGTCATCCTTACAAGTTATGCCATTTCCAACGTGGAGATGAAGAACCAGAGACTCCGAGTTTAGATTGCTTTCCCAGTGTCGAACACCTAGTAGGCGGGAGAGCTTACAAAAAAAGCTGTCTCTTCCTGATTTCAAACCCCAATGTCTCAACTTCTACACTCTCCACCATTATTTTGAACACTGTAGCAGCTTTCATTAGGAGTCTGGCCTTACACGTATTATCGAATGGGAAAGGTGACCAAGGAATGAACAGAATAGAGGAGAGGACTGAAGAGAATAAGGGTGGGCGGAGCTCTTTGTGACTGGGCAATGCCTCCCAGTTCACTTCTATACCTACTTTTCACACACACACACACACACGTGCAGAGTTGGCTGGTCCCTTGGTTGGATAGGTATTACAGAATCAATTAGGTTCCTCTGCGCCCCAAATCACAGCAGAACCCCCACTGACCCTGTCCACACCCGTCCCCCTCAGCTTCCCCTCAGCTTCCATGCCTCTCCTGCTTTCTGTGAGAACTGCACTGTGTGGGAAAGGCCTGTGGGCATTAAGGGAGGGGCCCCAAAAAAGCAGAGAGATGTAATCAGATTGTCAAAGGGCTTGGTCTGTTCTTGCCTGTTTCCACAATCTCTTCATGTCTCTGGCCTTCTTAAGATTATAAATACATTTAAAAATCTGGGCTGGGCGCAGTGGCTCACGCTTATAGCCCCAGCACTTTGGGAGACTGACACTGGTGGATCCCTTGAGGTCAGAAGTTTAAGACCAGCCTGGCAAACAGGGCAAAACCCTGCCTTTACCAAAAATACAAAAATTAGCCAGGTGTGGTGGTGGATGCCTGTAATCAGAGGTACTCGAGAGGCTGAGGCAGGAGAATGACTTGAACCCGGGAGGCAGAGGTTGCAGCGAGCCGAGATCGCACCACTGCACTCCAGCTGGAGTGACAGAGAGAGATGAATATGTGAAAAATATTTAAAAAGGACAATGGAAGACTCTCATCTATCACACATCAACTGTCACCATTTGGTCATCTCTCGCCCTCTCCCTCTGCCTTGGGAAAGGGTAAGTGCAAGAAACAAAGTTTCATTTTTGCCTTTTTGGGCAAGTATAAAACTAGTGACGTTTTTGTAGATTATTTTGTAAAGTTGTGTAGTATACGTTATGTCCACTAAGTCATTAAAGTGTTCAAAAAACTCAGCTCTCCTCTGTGATTGTAATCTAAACAATGTACGGATATTTACAGTGAAACCCAGGATTAATGAGTAGATGTTCAAGTAGAAAATGTTTGTAGAGATAGTATCAGATGTGTGAGTTTAATAAAATGAGCACAACACATTACAAACGGTGTGTATGGCTTCCCAGCGCAAAAAGCCTTTGGACGTGGGAGAGTTTCAACACGACACAAACAGTGGTGAGCATGGCTTCCCAGCACAAAAAGCCTTTGGACGTGGGAGAGTTTCAACACGACACAAGCAGTGGTGAGCATGGCTTCCCAGCACAAAAAGCCTTTGGACCTGGGAGAGTTTCAACACAACACAAACAGTGGTGAGCATGGCTTCCCTGCACAAAGAGCCTTTGCACGTGGGAGAGTTTCAACACAACACAAACAGTGGTGAGCATGGCTTCCCTGCACAAAGAGCCTTTGGACCTGGGAGAGTTTCAACACAACACAAACAGTGGTGAGCATGGCTTCCCAGCGCAAAAAGCCTTTGGACGTGGGAGAGTTTCAACACAACACAAACAGTGGTGAGCATGGCTTCCCTGCACAAAGAGCCTTTGGACCTGGGAGAGTTTCAACACAACACAAACAGTGGTGAGCATGGCTTCCCAGCACAAAGAGCCTTTGGACCTGGGAGAGTTTCAACACAACACAAACAGTGGTGAGCATGGCTTCCCTGCACAAAGAGCCTTTGGACCTGGGAGAGTTTCAACACAACACAAACAGTGGTGAGCATGGCTTCCCAGCGCAAAAAGCCTTTGGACGTGGGAGAGTTTCAACACAACACAAACAGTGGTGAGCATGGCTTCCCAGCGCAAAAAGCCTTTGGACGTGGGAGAGTTTCAACACAACACAAACAGTGGTGAGCATGGCTTCCCTGCACAAAGAGCCTTTGGACGTGGGAGAGTTTCAACACAACACAAACAGTGGTGAGCATGGCTTCCCTGCACAAAGAGCCTTTGGACCTGGGAGAGTTTCAACACAACACAAACAGTGGTGAGCATGGCTTCCCTGCACAAAGAGCCTTTGGACCTGGGAGAGTTTCAACACAACACAAACAGTGGTGAGCATGGCTTCCCTGCACAAAGAGCCTTTGCACGTGGGAGAGTTTCAACACAACACAAACAGTGGTGAGCATGGCTTCCCTGCACAAAGAGCCTTTGGACCTGGGAGAGTTTCAACACAACACAAACAGTGGTGAGCATGGCTTCCCAGCGCAAAAAGCCTTTGGACCTGGGAAAGTTTCAACACAACACAAACAGTGGTGAGCATGGCTTCCCAGCGCAAATAGCCTTTGGACCTGGGAAAGTTTCAACACAACACAAACAGTGGTGAGCATGGCTTCCCAGCACAAAAAGCCTTTGGACGTGGGAGAGTTTCAACACGACACAAACAGTGGTGAGCATGGCTTCCCTGCACAAAGAGCCTTTGGACCTGGGAGAGTTTCAACACAACACAAACAGTGGTGAGCATGGCTTCCCTGCACAAAGAGCCTTTGCACGTGGGAGAGTTTCAACACGACACAAACAGTGGTGAGCATGGCTTCCCTGCACAAAGAGCCTTTGGACCTGGGAGAGTTTCAACACAAAGGCTAAGAGGCAGAGGAGACACAGCAGAGAAGATGTCAGAAAGACCTAAGAGGGGCCAAAAGCAAGGGGATGACAGGCGACCAGATGCCCAGGCACTTGAGAACAAGCTGCCTCCTAGGGAGGCGGCAGGAAGGCCGCGTGGGCTCAGCTGCAGATGGCCGAGGGGATACCTAGAGGCCCCCAAGCAGAGGCAGGACATGCCCGGTAGTAGGGACTCTGTATGGACGGGGAGATGGCTTCACTTGTGAGGAGCACTGCGCGGGGAGAGACGGGCACCCCCACCACGGTGACCGAGAGAGTCAGGCTGTCCAAAGTCACGGGAAAACACGTGACTGGAAGAGGGGGCAAGGGGAGGAGGGCCCCGCGAATAGCCTGCCTCGCTGGGCCCAGGCTGGGGCGAATCTCGGGGCACCCATGCGCCTAGTGTTTGTATCCTGCGGCGGTGCGTGGAGCTGGGGGCCACCGCTGAAGCGCCCCCAGGCAGGGCAGGGCAGGGCACCGGGGGCTGGGACTCCGCCACAGAGGAGGGGCTTAGGGCGCCCGGCTCCCCTGACCAGCGCCCAGCGGAGCCCCTGGCGCAGCTTCCGGAAGGTCCGTTAGGCCGGAAGCCCCTGGCGGCGGGCACGGGAGACCCCACCGGCAGCCGTTAAAAGGCGTTGCGCTCCCGCCCCGCGTCCTCTGTCTGTCAGGCTTGGTCGGCGGGGCTGGTGTTCTGTTTAGCAGGCGCCCCCGTGCGGGAGGACGCCCACGGGGAAGCTCTGGAGCGGGGGACATCCCCAGACCTACGCTGTTAACGGAGACCTGGGACTGGAGCAGAGTCATATATGCTTGTGCTGGCGGCCTTGGCGAGGGAGGGCGGGGGGAGCCTTTGACGACGTGAGGTGGACGCCGCAGGAGCCTTGTTACGTAGCGCCTCAGGCCTGTGGAGCGGCTTTTGGAATAAACCCCTAGGAAATGTGAAAACCGTGTCACGGGAAGAAGGGGCTGTACCAGGGACTAAGTTGGCTGAAGTTTCTGGTTCCATCCATGAATACTGAGCTTCAGCTGCCAACTGCACAGGCCATTTTCCGTTCCGTCAAAGCTGAGGATTTTTAACCAGATTTTCTGACGACGAGAGGGGAGCAGACATGCTTCCTGCTCCCTGGGATCCTAGTCATCCATGTAGTGAAGTCAAGAACCCATGAGGGTTCCACTGACCCAGGCCTTTTTGTGCCCAATTCACAGCTTCCGCCAAGTCAGACAAGCCTAGGGGCTTCCGCCACGCACGACGTACCTGTTTTCCTTCTGTTCCTTTTCCCTGTCAAACTCCGCTCGGGCTCTCGGCTCTTAGGTGGCAAACATGGGTTTTACCATCCTCTGATTTGGGAAAGACAATTCCTGAAACGACTTTTAAGTCACTTGATGTCACTAGAGAAGTCCTTAAGTGTGTTAAGTTTAAAAAAAGTAATGAAAGACTATGGTCTTCGGTGACTCCCTTCCCTGGTGGGGCACTCTTCGTTGTTAGAGACTTTTTTCTGGCTTGCAGTCTTAGTTGGGCATGTGAACTGCGCAAAGCTCTACAGTTTGTTAATAAAACACATGGACACAGGGAAGGGGTCTATTGGGGGGAATAGGGGAGGGACAGCGGACCGGGGTGGGGGTGGGGTAGCTGGGGAGGGATAGCCTGGAGAGAAATGCCAAATGTGGGTGAAGGGGAGGAAGGCAGCAAAACACTGCCACGTGTGTACCTATGCAACTATCTTGCACGTTCTGCATATGTACCGCCAAACCTAAAATGCAATTTAAATAAATAAATAAAAATAAAGCAAATCCTGTGGGCCTGACTTGGAACTGCAGTGATAATAGACTGCATCTGGGCATGGACTCACCCAAATTGTTGGGGACTGTGGGATGGGAAGAGGGTGTTTTTTTCTGAAGCCAGAACTGGGAAAGTGAGAAAGGTTCCTAGTAACAGGGAACCTGAACGACTACCTTTAAGATCTTCGGGCAGGGGTGATGGTTCATTCTTAAAGCCCATTTTTAGAACAGGTTAAACCTAAATACAAATAGTAGCATTCATGGTGACGGTAATTAAAGACATCACAGCTGTTGGGAACCTAAAGAAAATGAGAGTGGGGATTGGCAGCCTGGAATTGGAAAAAAAAAGAAACCCTCTTCCTTTCTCCTGAGTTAGTGCCTCCTCACTGTAAGCAGTCCTGGAAGACAGGAACAATGTTACAGAGATAATTAAACAGTAGTTTAGGTATAATTTTCAGGGTGGTTGAGAATTCAGGATTCAGGCTTGCTGATAATTGAATCCCAAATTCAGTACCCTTGCGGGTGTGGGTCTGGTGAGTGGTGTCAGAGTGGCAGGAATCATGGGGCTGGGGGCGAGAGGTGATATTGTTAGGCAGGAACTAGCTGCAAATGGCCTCCCCATGGTCTGGTTAAACCCTCTTCCAAATGTCAGGATACTAGATATGTAATGTCGATTATACAGGGAAGTTGTTTCGATGATTTACTTTGGTCTCAGCTCTCCCCTCCGTTATAACATCAGCAAAATGCCTGAATTTAGGACGTGCAGTTTGTCCCCACACCCTGAAATCCTGTCCTCTGTGCTGCTGGGCTAAGTGGTATAGAGTGTTGGATTCTAGCGGTAGCGGGAACCTGAGGTTGAATTGTTAAGTATCCTATGCGTTGTCCTTTCTTGGAATTGAGAGAGAATCTGAGGAGACCAACCAACTTTTGACCTCAGATCAGAGCTGGAAGGAGGGAGCTTGCCGAGGTGTCAGTTCTGTGAGAGGCTGGATTATGACCAGAAAATGGGATAGGGACATGAGGAATGTGGCAGTGTGTTGTGAACTGAACGCGAGCCCGGGAATCTTGTCCAGTGAGGGGGTCCCAAACCTGGAAGAGGGCGTGTGCAGAAAAGAAAGGAGACAGAAAGAGGGCTCTGGAGGACTGGATGAGCTATGCCCGTACAGCGATTTTATTTGTGCACTAGGTTTCCTTATATACTTTTTTCTTTTAACATCATTACTGAATAAAAGGAACAGAAAATTCCTTGGGGGATGATTCTGAGGAACTGTCAAAAGGGAACAAATACTAATTTAAAAGATCAATGGGAAATAGGTGATGCTGATTATCGATATTGTCAGAACAATCAATAACTTAACAATCTTTAATTAACTAGAAGTCACAAGCTCAGTAGTAAACCGTGTATCTGCTAGAGACAAGGACCGCAGGGGAGGTTGCTAGGCTGAAACAATGCCTGGTAAACAAAGTCTTAGATCAGAAGCCAGAAAGGGGAACACAATACCCAATTAACTCACTTCAGCGTTCACCTGGCCATTATCTCATCGGCCAAGATGGCTGAGGATAGTGTCCTGCTTAATCATTCTCAATTTCCTCTTTCTTTCTCGTCTTAATTTCCTCTCACTCATAGCTTGCCAGCCTCCAGCCAGGGAAAATGTGTAAGGAGTCAAGCTCACCTAATGGCGGAGGCCAAGTTGTTAGCCTCTCGCAGGGGCGACCCCCACAATAGCAGTGGTGTTAAGCAACAACTTTTCCCCTACCTTGGGGTGCTAGTTGAGAGCCTTTGCTGTCACTCAGTATAGGGCCCAGCATTGCCCTTTTGGAGTGATGAGCTGAAAGATGGAGCCCAGTTGGTCCCATCCTGAGTGAGGATACAGACCCGTGAAGGTGTCAGTTCCTAGGTTGATGGTAATTGGAAGAGCATCTTGGGTGACTCTGAAGGAGGATGTTGGGCTAAGGGTAAAAGACCAGCTGCCATGTGTAGGCTAGGGATTCAGAACTCTCCTGAGACTTCTCTTTGGGTGAAAACTGGGATTGATATTAGAGGTACCGGATAGAAGTCTGAAGTGAGTCAGGGATGGCAGGCTTCCTGTGTGCACAATCACAGGTGCAGCAGAAGGGATAACGTTACCACCCTCTTCTTCCTGAAGTGCCCTCTATGCTGCTGTAGGCTGTCCAGCTGTAACTCACTTTTGGTCCTCATACTATGTTGAAAAGGGAGAAAATGTCTTTGTGAGGGACTTGGAAAATACATGACACAAAAGAGAAACACTCTTATCCCCAAATAATGAAAATAAACTGTAGGAAAAAAATTGTCTAATTTATGGGGTGCTGAAGTCTAGAAAGCCCGAGGACCACAGAATAAATGCCCTTGTAGAGAAAATCTCAGTGTTTAAGGGCAGGTTAAAGGTCTTTGCTGAGGCTGGGGATGGGACAGAATGCAAAGCTTCTAGGTTTTTACCCCTTAACCAGTGAGCCTTTTTGGGGGAAGTGCTATTGTGCAAGTTTAAAAAAAAAAAACTTTTATGCAAGGTTCAAAGAGTTCTCAGGATGTGTAGGCTTCTGAGGGAGCCAGGTTTGTTTTATATATACATATAGATTTGGGATTATAAAGCAGGCATTGAAGAATGGCTGTGAGTTTCCAGAGTTTGAGTGAGGAGAGCAAGGTTGGCAGTTGAGTATTGGGTCTGGGAACCCTTTCCTGCATGGTCAAAGGAATTTGCTCTCGTTGATGCTAACTGGAAGAGGAGAACTTAAGGTTGCCTGACCTGAGCCCAAAAGAAACTAGAACTAAGAGGTACTGGCTGGATCGGCCAGCCATAGACACAAATGTGGCTATCCCATAGATGCAAAGCCAGGGGAAGGACACCCGCTCTATCACTAATTTGAGGAGTGTTTAGTGTATGTGGTCCTGTAATGAGGGACAATGCTTTAAGTTGGATAGCTGTCTTTACAAAACAACAACATTGCTGTATTTTTCTCACTTGTTATAGACCAGTGAAAACTTCCGTTTAATTGCCACAGCCCTGGGACAGCATTTAATTTATACGAATCTAGCCCAGCTCTTTGGCCTCGGAAACCATGGCATAACGTCATTGAGCTTCTCCACCTTTCTTTGAGCACATGGCCAAAGGAAGGGTTTTGGGGTACCAAGAATATGGCCTTAAAGTTTGTGGAGATTTTGAAATCTCTGCTTTATGAATTGATTAGGGTCTCTCACCCTGCTTTTTCCTCCTGGAAGTATTTTTTCTGTGGCCATTTTGCAGATTTCCCAGCATCTTACTTTTTTATAAGCTTGGAATTTTTTCACTCTGATATTTTCCCTTTGGTCTATGTTCTGCCTTTTTCTTAGGCGTTTTTGGCTCTCCTCCCCACTATAAGCTTGGTGCAAAAGTAATTGTGGCTTCAGATTGTTATACTGGACCGAGCATAGAAAATCAACACCAATACAAAAGTATGCCAAATTGCAGGGTTTATTGCCGACGACCACGGAGGACTCACGTCTCTCCAACCCGTGGTCCCTTAAAAGAGGGTGACAAGACTTTTTATACCTGTAAAAATCACCTGTGGGTGAGGGAAGGGGATGGGATGAGGGGCTTCAGACATTCCAAGGGTTAGTGGATTCAAATCACCTTCTGGGCTAAGATAAGGGTGAGGGGCTCCGGACATTCCGAGGGCCAGGGGACTATTGGACATTCTGATTGTCACTTAAACGGTTCACAAATGCTAAAATTAGCATTCGTTTACACGTTGTCTGGGTAGGGGTGGGATCCACAGATTTTTAGTTACTTGGTGCCAGGATGGAATTATCTGGGGGTGCTTATTCTGGTTATTACCGGTAAACAAAGGCCAGCAATTCTGGCAATTACAGATAAAAGAAGGTAAGCAGTTTTACCTCTTTGTATTCTGCAAAGTAAACTAGCAGTTTTACAGAAGCCAAGGTTAGCAGTCATTGTGAGGAGAATGGAAACAGTTTTGTCTTTTATAAAACGGCATTGTTCAGGTTCTAACTCTAGACCAGCTATATCACAGGATCATGAATTTTAAATCATAACTAGGCTCAAACACATCTTTCTTAATCAAAATAGGAACCATTACCATTAACACATTTTTGCCAATAAGACACAAGTGTGTTTACTCCTGTAGTGTGAAAAATCCATGCTTCTGGATTTGAGGAACTCTCGGAAAGCATTTTCTGCATTCTGCTGGTTGTGGAGGTGTTTTCCCTGCCAAAGATTGTCAATACTCGAAGAAGTGGTGATCAGTTTGGGGGAGGCCAGGGGAAGGTGACAGATGAAGCAATGCTTCATAGCCCAATTCGTTCAGCCTTTGAAGCATTGGTTGTGTGACATTCGGGTTGGGTGTTGCTGTAGAGGGGAACTGGGCCTTTCTGTTGTCCAGTACCGGCTGCAGGCATTGCAGTTTCCTGTGCATCTCATCAATTTGCTGAGCCTGCTTCTCTGATGTGATGGTTTTGCCAGGATTCAGAAAGCTGTAGTGGATCAGACCGGCAGACCACTAGTGACCATGACTTTTTTTTTGGTGCAAGTTTGGCTTTGGGAAGTGCTTTGGAGCTTATTCTGGGTCCAGCCACTGAGCAGCTGGTCATCAGCAGTTGTATAAAATCCACTTTTCGTTGCATGTCACAATCTAATTAAGAAATGGTTTGTGGGCCAGGCGCAGTGGCTCATGCCTGTAATCCCAGCACTTTGGGAGGCCGAGGCGGGTGGATCACGCGGTCAAGAGATCAAGACCATCCTGGTCAACATGGTGAAACCCCATCTCTACTCAAAATACAGAAAATTAGCTGGGCACGGTGGTGTATGCCTGTAATCCTAGCTACTCAGGAGGCTGAGGCAGGAGAATTGCCTGAACCCAGGAGGCGGAGGTCGTGGTGAGCCGAGATCGCACCATTACACTCCAACCTCGGCAACAAGAGCGAAACTCCATCTCAAAAAAAAAAAAAAGAAATGGTTCGTTGTTGTTGAGTAGAGTAAGAGAGGGTGGCACTTCAAAATAATGATATTTTTGATTTTTGGTCAGCTCATGTGGTGCACCCACTTATCGAGCTTTTTCACCTTCCAATTTGCTTCGAATGCTGAATGACAGCAGAATGGCCGACACTGAGCTCTTGAGCAGCTTCTCATGAAGTTGTAAGAGAATCAGCTTTGATGATTGCTCTGAACTGGTTGTCGTAACTTCTGAAGGCTAGCCATGGCACTCCTCATTTTCAAGACTGTTGTCTCCTTTGCACAACTTCTTGAACCACCACTGCCCTGTGCATTTGTTGGCACTTCCTGGGCCAAATGTGTTGTCGATGCTGCGAGTTATCTCTGCTGCTTTATGACCCAATTGAACTCTAATAAGAAAATTGCTTGAATTTGCTTTTTGTCTAACATCATTTCTGTAGTCTAAAATACAAACAGCAAGTAATAAGTCATTACCAAGAAAACATAGTGAGAAATGCCCGTTAAAATGATGTATGACATAACCACATTGATGTAAGAATGTATTCCAGTATCAAACAGCAAATTCCAACAATGCAAAAACCACAATTACTTTTGCATGCACTTTAATACATTTCAGCTGTTCTTTGGGAAAAGGCCAAACAATTTTACAGCTACAGTAAAAACAAAAACAAAAGACAAACCTGTGTGTCTTGCCACTGATAACATCTGGTTTGGTTTTGTTTTCCTTTCAATGGTATTTAGTTTCCAGACCCAAAGGCCTGCAGGAGTAACGACATACTTCCTGGTATTCTTACTTCGGAATAATTCTTGGAGTGTGCAACCATAAATAGCATGCTATGTTTCAACCCATACTCTTGAGGAAGGAGACCCAGGCATCTGGGATACCCTCCCCCTCTGTCATCCACTGTGCATCTCAATAGAAGAGAGAGCAGGCCAGCTGGCACCTCCTGAATCTCCTTCCTGAAAATCACACCCTTGATCTTGGGGAAGCTCTCTGAAAGACACTATTTTTACTTAAAACAAGATCAAACCAGAGACCTTTTCACATGTGAGTCCTAAAACTGTAAAAGGGAACCCTTTCATATGCGATTCCTGAAACTCAACAGAGACCTTTTCACATGTGAGATCTAAACTGTAAACTGGAACCCTTTTATATGTGATTTCTAAAGCTATAAACCTAAGATTCTTCCCCATGTAACATCTAAAGTATAAGCCTATATAAAGGCAGAACCTTCCTTTGTTAGATGAGCTGGGCTTTGGACAAATTATGCCCAGGCTCCCGGCGGAATAATAAACTCCTCCTTTATTCGGTGTTCAGGAAATCTGTTTCCCATGGCTGTTCCCGCTACATTTTTGGTGCATTGGCCGGGAAGCGAGTCTCAGATAGCAGACAGGGTGGAAAAGTCTCTCAGGTGGTTTGCCTAGCCCTGTGAAGCATCCCTGCAGGGGGTACTCCTGCTCCCTGGGGTGACGCATCCTGAGAGCACTCATGGACAGGTACTTGCCTGGTGGAAAAGCCTTGCCAGAGCGGAGCAAGGAGGCCCTGCAGTGTGGATCCAGCCACTGGCTGAGCACTGAGGAGGAACAAGTATTTGGGGGAAGTCTGGACCACTGAATTTGGAACGATTGAACCTGGGAAAGTAGCCCACCCCATTTTGGGTGGAAGCGTGGCCTGATCACCCACGGGTGCCCGATCGGCACTTTTGAAGGTAGCTCTCTCTGTAACTAGCCTTGGAAGCTTTTTGCTTATGGTTTTGAATTAGAAGGAGAGTGATAGGATGTGTGGCTGTGTGTGTAGATGTGTCCGACTGGACTCATCAGTCGTGAAAGGTAAAGGTATGGGGCCCATAAGGAAGGGCCTCCTGCATTGAGCAATTTATAAGAATTAGAGACAGCCACAGAAGGCTGAGTGAAGAAGTCTCTGGGCATTGTGAAAGGACTGAAGGGAAGGTAAATCGGAGAGTGTTCCATGCTGTGTCTTGCTAGGCAGGACGGGAACTGCTGAGTGAACTAACACTCTCCTAACTGTGGGAATTGTTTCTTTGAAGTATCAATATGGGTCACTCCCATAGTCATTCCACCCCTTTAGGAACCATGCTGAAAAATTTCAAGAAGAGATTTAGTGGGAATTATAAAGTAACTATGATGCCAGAGAAATTAAGGGTTTTATATGTAGGGAAGATTGGCCAGCATTTAGGGTAGGTTGGCCCCCAGAGGGGACCCTAGACATGTCCCTTATCTCCAAAGTAAGGCATGAGGTTATATATGGCGAGCTAGAACACCTCGATCAATTTCCATACATAGACTCGTGATTGCAGTTAGTGTTAAACCCTCCAAAGTGGCTAAGAGAGCAGGCAGCGACTGTTTTAGGGGCAAAGGGACAGACTGCTAGAAACCACCATCCCCCTCACCACTGAGAAACACGGAATCTCAAGGTCCGGGCATACTCAGTGGCAGAGACAACTCCCAAAGTTTTGGTTAACCCAGCAGCAGAAGAGTTTTTGTCAATAATGCCTCCTCCTCCTCCTCCTCCTCAAGGACTCCCCGCCCCTGGGCCGGAGGCCTTGGCATCCCCACCAGAGCTGCACACCCCTAAATCCTCCGGAGCAGACAAAAGAGAGTGTGGAAAAACTCTGCCCATTGCTGCCCGCTTCCCAGAGGGAACTCCCCCTCTGGCAGCCCGTCTTCGACCCAAGGCCGGGGTGCAGATGCCTTTGAGAGAGCAGAGGTACATGGGAGTGGATGACGATGGCCACATGGTAGAAAGGCGTGTTTTCACGTACCTGCCCTTCACCTCGGCTGATCTTATCAATTGGAAAAATAACCTGTCTTATACCGAGAAACCCCAAGCTCTCATTGATCTACTGCAAACTATTATTCAGACTCATAACCCCATTTGGGCTGACTGCCATCAGCTGCTTATGTATCTTTTTAACACGGACTTTGCTGTACTTAATGGACTGCCCCTACCCCCCCTTCTCTGGCAAAACCTGTTGTGCAAATCAAGGGCCACTATCCCATTCAACAAAAAAGACTAACTGCAGCTACAACTGCCTCAGTCGGGGGTCATCCAGGCTCTCATTGTCCCTTGGGAAGACGGGTGGAGCCTTCCTAGCCAGAAGCAGAAGACTGATATTATCGCTCAGGCCAGTGCAGGGCTTTCGTGGCTTTGCACCCAACTTATACACGCAGTTGGAATTACTGCCAGCAGAGGATAGTTGGTTCACTTAGTTGGACTTAAAGAATACCTCCTTAGCATTGGACTGGCCTTGGAGGGTCAAAACATATTTGCATTTCAATGGGAGAAACCCAGAAGCAGGTGTAACCACTCAATACACTTAGATCCAGCTTCCCAGGGGCTCAGAAACTCTCTCATCATCGCTGGGGAGGCATCAGGCTGTGACCATCCCCCAGAAGCTTCTTGCTTGCATGCTGCCCCCATATGCTGAAAACCTTCTATTGGGACACCCCACGGCAGTTGGGTACACAAACAAATGCCTTACTTAGGCACCTGGAGGACTGTGGGTATAAAGTGTCTAAAAGGAAAGCTCAGATTTGCCAAAAAGCAAATGCAATATCTGAGGCTCACCATCTGGAAGGTGGAACGCAGCCTAGAAGCGGAGAGGAAGCAAGCCACTTGCAAAGTCACAGAACCTGAGACTAAAAAGCAGGTGAGAGAGCTCCTGGGAGCGGTGGGTTTTGTAAATTGCGGATTTCCAAACTTAGCAGTACTGGCCAGACCCTTACACAAAGTGACAAAGGCGGGGAGGGGAGAAGACAAGACACCCTTCGAATGGGGCAGAAGCTAAAAGTTGAAACTTCCATGGCTTTGGGGTTAGCTGATTTTAACACAGCCTTTTCATACTGTCAAAAAAAAAAAAAAAAAAGAAAAAGAGAGAATGGCAATCAAAGCTTCTAGCCTCAACTCTGGGAAGAATTTAAATATCAAAGCACTCCACACAGAGGGGACTCTAATGAATACCCAAAGGACCTCATTGGTAAGCCTGCCAAATACCAGGGCCTGCTATGTGCAGCGGTTGTACAAGCCGTACATGAGACCACTCATTTAGGTCAAGAATCACTTGAAAAGATGCTGGGTCAGTACTTTTACATCCTTCACTTAGCAGCCTTGACTAAAACTGTGGCACAGCGATGCATTCATTACATGTTGGCAACACAACGCGAGGCAGCTTCCCAGCTATTCTCCCTGGCATCCAAGCTTATGGAGCAGCTCCGTTTGAAGATCTCCAGGTAGATTAAAAACAAAAAACTGAGGAACTTGCTGAGGTTCACATAGCTAGATAGGGGTGGTGCTGGAATAGGAACCAAGGCGGTCTGTGTTTTCTGTGACAAATATGAAAAATTAAGAACAGCATTTAGTCATGTAGTCCCTAGACTCCACCATGAAATGAGAACAGTCGTGTTGCAAGGCAGGAAGCTATAGGTTACTTCTCCGCAATTACCAACAGGTGGCAGTGTGTCAATTTACAACACTTGCTATGTACATAAATTTAAATGACTTAAGAGTTGGTTATGGATTTTAACGAATCACCAAGCCAAGTGTAGCCAAGATAGGAAAATTAAGTATTCTGATCTAACATTTGAAATCTTGGACTCTTTTCTAGCAACACCATCTATTGTACTCAAATCCGTGAGCAAATAGGCTAGTCTGTACATCCACATGGTTCTTGAATTTTTTTTATAACATCCCTACCTCATGACTGTCCAGACTACTTGAAAACCTCCCCAAACGAGCATACCACCTCTTACAGAAGCCCTTTTCATCTTCAGAGAACACCGAAAACTCTCTCCAGTAGTGGTGTAAAGATCTACACATGTAAAAAAAGGCAAAATTTTTGAAATATTAGAAGAAAATACTAGTGCTCCTCAACTTATAATAGGGTTATATCCCAATAAACCCATCCTCAGTTGAAATATGGTAAGTCCATGATGCATTTAGTAACCAACCTACCAAATATCGTAGCCCAGCCTAACCTTCCTTAAACATGCTCAGAACATTTACATTAGCCTGCAGATGGGCAAAGTCATGTAACACAAAGACTATTTTGTAACAGTGTTGAACATTTCATATAATTTATTGAATACTGAAAGTGAAAAACAGAATGGTTATATGGGTACTTGCAGTATGGTTTCCCTTGGATGCATATTGCTTTTGTATCATCATAAAATCAAAAGATTGCTGAGCAGAACCATCATAAATCAGGGACTGTCTATATAGAAAAAATATTACTTCACAGAAAAAAATGTATTACTTTGGGGGAGAAGATTATTTTTTAAGCAAAATAAAGGAAAAGATTGATACATCTGATTACATTGAAATTAAAAACTTATTTCTCAAAAGACTTCATCAAGATACAAAAAGCTGCACTGACAGTCATAAGGGCCCCCCTAATGATTTCATATAACCGTAATTACCTCTTTAAAGACCTGATCTCCAAATATGGTCACATCCTGAGACACTTCAGGTCATGACTTCAATGTGCGAATAGGTGGTGGCCCAGTTCAACCCATAACACTCACCATAACTGTGATATTTAATAAAAATCTGGGTTGGGCACAGCGGCTCATGCCTATAATCCCAGCACTTTGAGAGGCCGAGGTGGGTGTGTTGTGTGAGCTCAGGAGTATGAGACCAGCCTGGGCAACATGGCGAAACCCTGACTCTACAAAAAATACAAAAATTAGCCAGGCCTAGTGGCACATACCTGTGGTCCCAGCTACTCAGATGGACAGCTTAAACAACAAACATCTTGTTCTCACAGTTAATGGAAGATAGGAAGTTCAAGATCAAGGCACTGGCAGATTCAGTGTCTGGTGAGAGCTCCCCTCTAGCTGTGTCCTCACATGATGGAAAGATAGGAGGGCTCTCTGAGGACTCGCTTATAAAGGCTCTAATCCCATTCATCAGGGTTCTACTCACATAACCTAATCACTTCAGCCATCTCTTAATACTGTCACATTGGGGGCTGAGATTTCAACATATGAATTTGGTGGGGGAGACATAAACTCCATAAATCTCTGATAATAATAGTATAGTTGAGGATGTGAAGCCATAGGAAATCTTAAATATTGATGGTGAGGAAACTGATTTTGCATTAAAATTGAAGATGCAAATATCCTATTACCAGCTATTCTATCCCTAGAGATGTACTCTAGAGAAGTTTTGCACAGGTGATTAAGAAGATAGGTACACCAATGATCATACCAGCACTGGAAGAATCAGAAACAATCAAAATATCTATCAGCAAGAAAACAGAGTATGTTAAACAATGGAATACTATAAGTCAGTAAAAATGAATGAACTAGAGCTATATATGTAACATAAATGACTGTTAGAATGCAGACTGTTTCTACAGGCTCCTACATAATGATTTCTCATGACTGTGTTTTGTTCAGTAAAGGGACACAGCCATTCCCACACTGCTGCACATTCAGACTGGTTCTTCTGTGGCTTTCTGAGGCTAGTGGACCAGGAGGCTCCTTTAGGACTTTTCAAAATCCCAAGCCTTCCCACTAGGGATTCTTTAATTGCCTTTACACCTTGCCCTTCCCACCCTCATGGTACAGGTATTGACATATTTCTATTTGTGACCTCATTCAAAGTTCCTCATTCAGTTAATTGTATGTCTTTTCATCATATCAGTTTCCAGCAGCTGATAAATTCTCTGGGTCCTTGTTATGTAAACAATCCCAATCCTTTTTTTTGGAATAAAGAGAATGACTACACTTCCTGGGGAGACAAGAATTTTGTCTACAAATGGCACAGCACTACTGTGCATAATGGGTGCTTTCCTGCTTATGGCAATGTCATGCTTTAATATGTTAGGTTTTAGTATAAACAATAAGGTGCATACATTTCAACTTAAGGCCTTGGAACTAGGGTCTCTCTCTCTTTTATCTAGCTACCTAGAGAGGAGCTAGGTTCAGGAGGAATGGCTTTAAGAAAGGTGCTGCAGGGAAGGGGTTGTAAGCACACAGGACCACGATGCAGATGGATCTGGATTTGAGTTCCAGCTCTGCTTTTACTGTATGTAAGACTTATAACAAGTTTTGTTACGTTTTTGTTTTCCTTGGCGAGCCTGTTTCTGCATCTCTAACCTTCTTTATAGGGTTGATAAGATAAAGTATATGAAACATTTAACATGACTTCCACCAACTACATAGTCAGTAAACATTAATGTTATTAAAAAGATTGTTTCTTTAAAATAACAATTTCAAAGCTTTGAATATAAGATGATAGTGGCCTTTATGTGGCAATGAGGCACAAAACAATGAAACAACTGGAGCGATCAAAGTTTCCACTGAGCAGCTGTTTTTTATTTTCTCCCAAAGTGATTTTAGAATATGGAGGAAGCCAGGCCTCCAACTATAGTCCCAGCCCACAGCTGTGGTTGAATAAATGAGCAGCTAAAGAGTATCCCTGGGTAAGTAATTTCCCTGCATCTCACTTTCTCTTCTATAGAATACTGATTCATGGGAAGCTAACAAATTTGGAAAACCCTCTAGATAGGAATTGTGTTAATAGCCATAGTTGCGGGGAACAATCCAAGATGGCTGATTGCTAACATCTTGGGATTGCAGCTCCCAGTGAAAGCGCAGAAAACGAGAGGAGCCACACTTTCAGACAAATTTTGGTCGCTCATGGAGCAGAAGATTCCCAATGGAGGTGTCACACGGGTCGCCAGCGCAACTCTTGTGGCCGGTGCAGCGGTTTTGCCGGCACCTCGGTGTGGCAGCTCGTGGTACAGAGTAAACCGGACTGGTTCCCCTTCTGACCGAGGTTTGGAGCTCCAGGAAGGCAGAGTTGCCTATTACAGACTCAAGAAGGAAGCCAGAGTGGAGATTCCCGGGCAGAAAAGCACCATCAGTCTTAACGCTGCTGTTTTGGCCGGCGCAGTGGGTTGCTCAGATTTCGGCCCTGGGAATTAACAACTTGGACGTCCACTCAGAGACCTAATTTGAAAGTTGGTAATTACAAAGACGACAGGCGGATAAATTTACAATGAAGGGAGGAAACCAGCATAAAAAAGGCTAAGAATACTCAAAATCAGAATGCCTCTCCCTCTAAAGAGGATCACAGTTTCTCACCAAGGGAACAAGACTTGATGGAGAATGAGCGCATCCCAATAACAGAATCAGGCTTCAGAAGATGGATAATAAGAAACTTCTGTGAGTTAAAAGAACATGTTGTAGCCCAATGTAAAGAAACTAAGAACTTTGAAAAAAGGTTTGATGAAATCCTAATGAGAATAGACAACTTAGAGAGGAATATAAGTGAATTAATGGAACTGAAGAATACAATACGGGAACTCTGAGAAGTATGCACAGGTTTAAATACTTGAATTGCTCAAGCAGAAGAAAGGATATCAGAGGTCAAAGTCCAACTTAATGAAATAAAACGAGAAGACAAGATTAGAGAAAAAAGGATAAAAAGGAATGAGCAAAGTCTACAAGAAATGTGGGACTATGTGAAAAGACCAAATTTACATTTGATAGGTGTACCTGTATGTGACAGAGAGAATGAATCCAAGTTGGAAAATACTCTTCAGGAAATTATTCAGGAATTTTTTCCTAAACTAGCAAAGCAGGACAATATTCAACCCCAGGTAATACAGAGAACACCACAAAGATATTCCTCAAGAAGAGCAACCCAAGGCACATAATCGTTAGATTCACCAGGGTTGAAATCAAGGAGAAAATACTAAGGGCAGCCAGAGAGAAAGGTCAAGTTAATTACAAAGGGAAGCCTATCAGACTTACAGCAGATCTCTCAGCAGAAACTCTACAAGCCAGAAGAGAGTGGGGGCCAATATTCAACATCCTTAAAGAACAGAACTTTCAGCCCAGAATTTCATATCCAGCCAAACTAAGATTCACAACTGAAGGAAAAATAAAATCTTTTATGAACAAGCAAGAACTCAGAGATTTCATTACCACCAGGCCTGCTTTACAAGAGCTTCTGAAAGAAGCATTACACACAGAAACAACCAGTATTAGCCTTTCTAAAAATATACCAAAAAGTAAAGAGCACCAACATAAAGAAGAATTTACATCAACGAATGGATAAAACAGCCAGTTAACATCAAATGGCAGTAACCCTAAATTTAAATCAACTAAATCCCCCAATCAAAAGATACAGCCAAAACCCAACGGTATGCTGCATCCAGACCCATTTCACATGCAAGGATACACAAAGACTCAAAACCAAGAGATGGAGAAAGATTTACCAACCAAATGGAGAGCAAAAATAAATAAATAAAAAGTAGGAGTTGCAATTCTCATATCTGATAAAATAGATTTTAAAGCAACAAAGCTATAGTGGTAAAAGGATCAATGCAGCAACAAGAGCTAACGATCCTAACACCCAGATACATAGAGACTTAGACTCAATGAGACAGAAAATTAATAAGGATATCTAGGACTCGAACTCAGATCCGGAACAAGTAAACTTAATAAATATTTATAGAGCTCTCCACTTTAAATACACATTTAAAAGAATGTAAAATATACATTCTTGTCAATACCATATCACACCTACTCATAGGTCTAAATGAAATATTGAGTGGCCATTATTAGAACCCATTTTTTTTTAGAATAAAGCAACATTTCCGTTCTCCTACTTTTTCTTCCTCTTTCTTACTTTCCTTCACTCCTTTTTTTCTTTCCTTCTCTCAAAAAAAAAAAAAAAATAGCCATAGTTGTGTTGCTCTGTAAACACGGAAATGCTGAGAGTGCAATCACTCAAATCCCATGTCCTGCTTTCAGTGGCTTTCACCCACCAATATGATGTCTGAGTGTTAACTGTCACAAAGGCCATTTTCACTGAGGTTTAATTTGAAATGAGCATCTACTGCAGGAAATAATGCAGATGTGCTCTGCTGTAGAGAAGACACTTTGCCCATAAATCTGTACAGTGGTCTGATGAATCATAGGGAAATGATCCTGTCAGAGACCCCTCGGGATGTTTCTGCCTGAAAATTCGGCTTTAGCAGGAGTGGCTACTGCTCCCTGGCCCTAGTGGCTGCATATTGACCGATACTTGCCCCATCAAAAAAGCATGCAGGGCCAGGCGCAGTGGCTTACACCTGTAATCCCAGCACTTTCAGAGGCTGAGGTGGGTGGATCAATCATGAGGTTAGGAGATCGAGACCATTCTGGCTAACATGGTAATAATTTCTTTTATTTTTGTACCAAAAATACAAAAAAATTAGCCAGGCATGGTGGTGCACACCTGTAGTCTCAGCTACTTGGGAGGCTGAGGCAGAAGAATCACTTAAACCTGGGAGGCGGAAGTTGCAGTGAGCCGAGACTGTGCCACTGCACCCCAGCCTGGGTGACAGAGCCAAAAATAAAAAATAAAAAAGTAAAAAAAGCATGCAAGTGTCCCTCAATGTCTGAGGGGGATTGGTTCCAAGGTCCCTCAAGATACCAAAATCCTCGGATGTTCAAGTTCTTTATATAAAATGGCATAGTATTTGTACATAACCTGTGCACATCCTCCCATACCCTTTAAGTCATCTCTAGATTACTTTTAATACCTACAACAATGTAAAATGCTATGTGAATAGTTATTTTATTACTTTATTTCTTTTGTATTATTATTTTTTCCAAATATTTCCCATCGTGTTGGTTGAACTGGGGGATGCAGAACCTGTAAGTCAATTAAGAAGTAAAGTATTACTAGTCCAGAGAAACACTTACTCTTCTTACCTTTAAGGATTTAAAAATAATGCGGCTTATTCCAAAGCAAGTATAGTGCAAAATACTTAACGGTAGACTGAGATGCTGTAAGAATTAAAATTCTGGGTGTAAAGGGTGATAGAAATCACACAGTGTCTGACACACAGTAAATTCAGTGAATTATAATGAACTGGAGGAAGGATGGAAGAAAACAGAAGGAAGGAAGAATTAGATGAAATTAGCCAAAAAGCTAGGACTTGGCCTGTAATCCCAGCACTTTGGGAGGCTGATGCAGGTGGATCACGAAGTCAGGAGTTCAAGACCAGCCTGGCCAAGATGGTGAAACCCCATCTCTATTAAAAAAAAAAAAAAATTAGTTGGGCCTGGTGGCGGGCGCCTGTAATCCCAGTTACTTGGGAGGCTGAGGCAGAGAACTGCTTGAACCCAGGAGGTAAAGGTTGCAGTGAGCCAAGATCACACCACTGCACTCCAGCCTGGGCAACAAAGTAAAACTCTGTCTCAACAACAACAACAACAAAAAACTAGGAGTTAGGCTCTGCAGGCTATGATCATAGCTTGAATGACTCTAGACAAGTCCCTCAGTTTCTTATCTGGGAAACAGAAACAATGTTTTCCTTATTGGTTTTCTGTGAGAAAGAAATCGAATTACGTAGAGAGATATGTGGTTGAAAGCACCTGACAGTCATGAGACCTGCAGATCAATATCAGTTTAATACAAATCATCAAATATTTACTAAGCCCTTAACTATCTGCCTGGCATTGTATCTTGGGTGCTAGAATTACACAGGAGATGAATAAGACAGGCAGGCTTATACCCTGGATAAGGCAACTAAGATGGAGGCAGTCTCTGTTCTGGATCTTAGGACTTTTATTTTTCCTATATTCATAATAGACTCCTGAAATCCCCCTCTGGTTGAGCTGCCCCGGTCCTTGCCCACTGAAAACCCACAAGTCTATTAGGGGAGATAAAACTGTAAACCAAAAATTCCAAAGAAGAATGTGAACTGCAACAATGGTGGCCCTAAGAAAATGTGGGAAGGAAATGAGCAGGGGCTGAGGAACTGGAGCAGGGGAGTTGGGTGAAGGCACCTGAGAGGGATGATGTGTGTGGGCTGAATTACAGAAAATAAGCAGGAGTTCTTATGTAAAGAAAAAGAGAAAAGGCATTTCAGATCACAGGAAGCATGACATGCGAAGCCACAGGAACAGGAAATTGACAGCTCCAGCTTCTGCCATTAACTGGCTGTTTTTCACCTTTCTGGAATTTCCTCAGCTCCCTCTGGGGTTTCAGTCTTCTCATCTCAGAAAATGAAGGTCAGGGGTGGAAAGAAGGAATCTAGATTTCTGGAAGATGGATACCTCCATCTCTAACTGGATACGTCCATGCGAGAGCAAAAAGAAAAGGGGTAGCTTTAAAAACGTCAAGTGTTATTTTAGGGCACGAGCCAGAAGCCCCATGTTTTTTGACTATCAAGATGACAGGCAGAGCCAGCAGCCATTCAGAAGTTTTCTCCACTCGATCTTAAGCCAAAAGGCCGAGAAGCGATCAGAAGTTTTCTCAAAGATTCATTTACCCACTTCACCAATCCTTAGAGGGCATGGACTGAGCCAGGGCCTATGCTACCAAAAAGGCCATAGTCCAGCAGAGGGAGGGAGACGGTAACTAAGTACACTTGGAAGCTATATTGGTCTGCGCACGGCGAGTGCGTGGGGACAGGAAAACAGAAGCTCCCAGGACGTGCAGGTCACATCCAGGTCACATGCAGAGTGAGTGACGGTTTATCTCCTAGCCAAATTAACTTCCTGTTTCCTCATCCTGCTTCACCTCCAAAAAGCCGTAAACATTTTCAGCAGTCATTTGTTCCTTGGCAGGACGACAGGGCACCCTCTCTCTTCACCTGCAGCCTTTCCCAGGCCTTGTCTGGGGCTTCACGCGCTCACTGCAAATTCAGAGCTGACCAAGAGGTGCCTGCTCCCGCGACAGCTTCGCGCAGACCTGAGCGCCCAGTGCAGAGTCCCAGATGTCGTGGGAGAGGGTGCCGGGAAGGCGGGCGGTGCAGCGCCTCCGGGGTTGGGCCGCGGCGGCTGGGCGGGACTCAGCCTACGGCATAAGAGGGGAGCGCCACTCTCCCGGCCGCAGTACTGAAGCCGGTGCCCCAGCAGCGGGCTAGGAGCCATTGGCACTGAGCTCGCAACCAGACCCGGGGACGCTGAAGAAGAGGGAAAGGTCTGATTTCTACTTATTCGTTTATTTAGTACCAAAGAGCGGAAGCGGGGCTGATTTGTGGGTGCCGGGGAGCAAGGCTGGAACTAGTCCAGGGTCTTAAACACGTCGAGACATTAACAAGGTCCAGGGGAGGGATCCAGCCGCGCCGACCGGCTCCAGCAGCTCCAGGCGCCCAAACTCAGCAGCTTCTCTCCCCGGCAGGCGCACTTCTTCCCGCCACTCCCAGTCCCGCCTCCAAAGATGCGGCTCCTCGAGAAACTCTGCTCTTCGGCTGCAGGCAGCTCGGCGCCGGAGCCCGCCTTTGCCATAGTGCTCACGCCGAATCGCATCCCCGAATTCTGCATTCCGCCGCGGCTGCCGGCGCCTTGCGCGCTCGACTCTCCGTCCCGGGCCGCCGTCCTGCCCAGGCGCTGCGCCGCCGAACCCGACCTGTGGCCTCGCGCGGCAGACGAGGGCGCCGGCCACACGGACTGGGACCCGCGCTCGCAGGCCGCGCTGTCGCTGCCGCATCTGCCGCGTGTGCGCACCGCCTACGGCTTCTGCGCGCTGCTGGAGAGCCCGCACACGCGCCGCAAGGAGTCGCTCCTGCTCGGGGGCCCGCCCGCGCCCCGACTCCGGGCCCAAACCTACGGCGGCAGCGGCCCGGACGCCGCCCTGGGGACCCTACGCGGCCCGCAAGCTCCGCTCCCGACCACCCCGGCGGCCCCCGGTGGTCCCCGCCCGCCCCAGGACGCGCTCGCCCCGCGGCCCGGCGGCTGCCGCCTCCTGCGCGCCCCCAATGGACTGCTGAGCCGCGCGCTGCGGGCGGGGAGGAGTCGCCGCCGGGCCCGCGCCCGCTCCGTCTCCAGTGGGAACGAGGACGAAGAGCGCCGCGCAAGCTCCCAGTCTCCGGCCCGGGACCCCTCCGCGGGCCCGCCGACTTCCCGGGACCCGCTTCCCGAGCGCCTGGTGGCCGAGGGCACCGTGGCTCTGGGCCGCGCCGGCGACGCCCTGCGCCTGGCCGCCGAGTACTGTCCGGGAACCGGGCGCCTCCGCCTCCGGCTGCTCCGCGCCGAGGGCCTGGCCGGAGGCGCCTCCGTGCCCCGCGCCGTCCGCTGCCGCCTCAGCCTCGTACTGCGGCCGCCGGGTACCGCGCGCAGGCAATGCAGCGCCGTCGTGGGGCGCAGCCGCAAGGCCGCCTTGGACCAGGACTTCTGCTTCGACGGCCTCTCGGAGGACGAGGTGCGCCGCCTGACGGTTCATGTCAAGGCTCGGGACGAGGGCCGCGGCCGAGAGCGGGGCCGCCTGCTGGGCCAGGGCGAACTGCCTCTGGGCGCCCTCCTGCTGCTCTGAGGGCCCGGCCCTTCCCCAGGCTCTCCCGACACTGGACAGCCGTCTTGTACAAAATAAACGTTATTTATTTTTCTATTTATGATATTGCTTTATTGTCGTTTTAGTTTCTCACTTTACAGATTTGTCATCCTTTATTGGTAGAGAAGAAAAAGAAGACTCCTGCTCTCTTCACAGGACTCCCATTCCTCTTTTCAGACCATTTTTGCATTCCAAGGAAAAAGGGGTTGGTGTGGGACTGGGAGAGAAAAGAAGTACACCCATCTACATTGTTTTTCATTCCTCTGGCTTTCTATTAATGTTAAACAGGTTTTCCCCCCAAATAAAACAAATTATTCATTCAGAGTCATGCCTAACGCTACGATTCATAGACACAGCTTTACATACCGATGCGGCATAGGTAATATTCTCATGTGTGTGTGCACAATGAGGTCTGATGTACACATAGGATATTACCTATGTGTCTTTCACACCAGAGTGAAAGACTCTTCTAGCATAAGGATGGATACCTTTGTAGGAAGAAAATTCCTTTCATTGTAGAAAGAACTTTCTTATCTAAGTTATTTTTTCAAAAATTGCTGAAGAAAAGGGAAGTGGAGGACCTTCCAGTAGATGGTAATGTAGGAAATGGCTTTTCCTGGCGTCTCTCTTCCTTACCTAGGAAGTCTTATTTCAGAAAAGAAATCTTTCCTGCCTCTGTAAACAAGGTGATATTTTTTGTGGCATTAGTCTCACCTAACCGTGTATCTAATTACACAGTAATTAGCTTTGCGGTAGGATTTCCTAGATGAATTAGAAAGGAAATTGTCAGTTTCTTGAACACTGGGTTCTAGAGAGTGTTTTTTTAAAAAAAAATCCAATTGATTTTCATTTGTTAATTCAACAAATATACCTGAGTCTACTGGAAACTGATTATACCAAAGATAATTTGCCCTGGGCTGCAGGAATCCACCATATAGAGCAAGGCACAGTGGTGTGGGAGACAAGAGTTCCTTTTTTTTTTCTGCCACTTGTCTGGAGTAGAGCAAATCAGTTCATCTCCCTGAGCCTCATTTTCTCCGTCAGTGAAAAGGGACTGATGGCTACCTCACAGGGTTTTGTGAAGATAGGACTTAATATCCGAATTACCCTTGGATACATGTGAACTATAATCGAAAATCTGAAAAGGCTTCCACTGTACCCTTTGATAGGTGCTCAGCAATGTTCCAGAGAATGATCTCCTTCACGTCTCCTTTCTTTCCAGCTGTTTTCCCCTGCTCCTCGAGTCAGCCTGGCAAATGCTTGGCTACCAGAGAATGAGGACTTAGAAGGGCCAGGAGTGGGAATGCAGAACCTTCAATATCCCCATGGTAAATTTCCCCATACGCAATAGTTGGCACTCATTCTCTATCAGAAATTCCTTCTGCATTGTTATAAAAATGATGTCTGGTTACAAATTTGATCAGACTAAATAAAAATCCTGGATTTTAAATATTATTTCAAAGTGGACAAATTAGCCTTTAAAAATAATCCCATCAAACTACTTCTGAAATTGAGAAAATGCCATAGAGACGACTTGCCCAAAGCTATAGGCTGGTGTGCATAGCTGAATTCAAACAAGAACCAAGCGTTCTGACTTCTCCAGAGGACTGACCCACCCTTGTTCACTCAACCATTATTCACTAAGCCCTCATTCTGTGACAGACACAAGTAAAAAGCCCTGAGGATGCAGCTATGAACAAGACAGACAAACAGCCAAATAAATAACCATATTTTATTATTATAGCTTATGGTAGCTATAGAGATTATGGACAATTGTGAAGTCGTGAGGGTGATAGAGGCTATCTGGACTTGGAAGTGGCATGGGAGACCCTCTCAGAAGCCCGATCCTCAGGGAGCATCCCTGAGCTTGCAAAGAGAATAATTTGCAAAGGAAACAATATATCTAAATAACTCTTAATGTGTGCTTCTCAATATAACCCCTTTATATTGAGAACAGAATTCTTGGTTTTGCTCTCCTAAATAATCTATCTTCCTTATCTAATAAAAGACACCATCATTCTTCCTGTCTCTCTAATCAAGTACCAGGAGTCATCCTTCACTCCTGTTTCTCACAGTCCACTTTCCCCGGATGTGTCACCTCCTCAGAGAGTCCTTTGCTAGACATTGTGTTTAAAAATAGCACCATCATTATTATCTACTTACACAGCTTCGTTTTCTTATAGCAATACCATTACCTACATCATGTTATGAATTCACTTGGCTGTTTGCTCGTCTTCTCTTCCATGAGAATGCAGGCTTTATAAAGGAGGAGTCTTTGTCGCCTATTCATTGTTCTATTTCCAGTGCCTACAACAGTATCTGGCATATAGTAGGCACTCAATAAATATTACCCAAATTGAGTGTTTGATGAAGACAGGAAGAGATGGGATAAAGTGAGCTGAGTAGAGGGCCTTGGACCAAGCCTTGGGACAGTTCAATATTTAGAAGTCCAACAGAGGTGAGGCCAGTGTGCTGGACAAAGAGAAGCAGTAGCCAGTGAGGCAGGGGAAGACCAGCTGAGTATGAAGTAATGGAAGCCAAGATAGGAAAGTATTCCAAGAAGAAGCTGTTCAACCTATGTATTCATGCATTTATTTAGTGGAAATGGAATGACCTTCATTCTGTAGACTTCAGAGAACATAATGAAGATGACATATGCATAGAGACTTGTCATTCCTTTTCAGAGGGCTCAATTTAACACAAATGAAACTTCATTCAAAAATTGACTTCTTAAAATAGGTAGAGTCTGGAATAAGCATTTGATGAAATACAACATTTGCTTGTGACTGATGTGTGTGTGTGTATACAGATATATATTTATAGAAAATGTTAGGATCACTGAAATCCGAGAGTGGCATCAGCAAAACGGCTGACTAGAACTGGCATACAGTATTTCTCCTGTGCTGGGCTTATTTCATTTAACATCATTTTCACTAGGTTCATCCATAGTGTTGCAAATGATAGGATTTCATTTTCTATGGCCGAATAGTAATCCATTGGGTGTATATACTAAATTATTTTATTCATTCATTTCTTGATGGACACTTAAGTTGATTCCATATCTTAGCTAGTATGAATAGTGCACCAATTAAGATGGGAGTGCAGATATCTTTTCAACATACTGATTTCCTTTCCTTTGACTATATACCCACCAGTGAAATTGCTGGATCATATGGTAGTTCTGTTTTCAGTTTTTTGAAGAATGTTTGTCATCTCCATAATGGGTGTATTAATTTACATCCCCACGAACAGTGTGTAAGAGTTCTGCCTTCTCTGCATTGTTGAGGGCATTTGTTTTTTGTTTTTGTCTTTTTGATAATAGCCACATTAGCTGAGGTGAGGTGATATACTTCATTGTGATTTTGATTTTCACTTTCCTGATGATTAGTGATATTGAGCATTTTTTCATCTACCTGTTGGCTGTTTGTGTGTCTTCTTTTGCCCATTTTAAAATCAGATTAATTGGATTGTTAAATTTGTTTGCTATTGAGTTGTCTGAATTTACTATATATTCTGGATATTAGCCCCTTGCCTGATGCATAGCTTTCAAAATTTTCTCCCATTCTATAGGTTGTCTCTTCATTCTGTTGATTGTTTTCTTTCCTGTGGAGAAGCTTTCTAGTGTGATATAATTCAATTTGTCTATTTTTTGTTGTTATTGCGTATGCTTTTGAGGTCCTATCTAAATAATTCTTGCCCAGACCAATGTCATGAAGTTTTTCTGTTATGTTTTTTTCTAGTAGTTTCATAGTTTGGGATCTTACACTTAAGTTTTTAATCCATTTTGAGTTTAATTTTTGTATATGGTAAAAGATAGGGGTCTAGTTTCATTCTTCTGCATGTTCACATCCAATTTTCCCAGCACCATTTATTAAAGGGCTATTATTTCCCGATGTTTCTTCTTGGCACCTTCATTAAAAATCAGTCATAAATGTTTAGATCTATTTCGGGATTGTCTATTCTGTCTATTGGTCTATGTGTCTGTTTTTATGCCAATACCATGCTGTTTTGGTTATTACAACTTTGTAGTATATTTTGAAGTCATGTAGTGTGATGCCTTCAGCTTTATCCTTTTGCCTCAAAATTGCTCTGGCTATTCAGGGTCTTTTGTGGTTCTACACACATATAAGGATTTTTTTCTATTTCTGTGAAGAATGCCATTGGTATTTTGATATGGATTGCATTCAATCTGTAGACTGCTTTGGGCAGTGTGGTCATTTTTACAATATTAATTCTTCCAATCCATGAACACAAAGTATGTTTTCATTTCTTTGTGTCCTTTTCCATTTTTTTCATCAATGTTATGTAGTTTTCATTGCAGAGATCTTTTACCTCCTTGGCTAAATTTATTCTGAGGTTTTCAAGCACCATATGTTCTCACTCATACGTGGGAGCTAAGCTATGAGGATGCAAAAGCATAAGAATGATACAATGGACTTTGGGGGACTCAAAGCAGGATGAAGGATAAAAGACTACACATTGGGTTCAGTGTATACTGCTTGGGTGATGGGTGCACTAAAATCTCAGAAATCACCACTAAATAACTTTTGAAATTAAAAAATATATTACAAGGTTTTAAATTTTATTTTTTGTAGCGTTCATAAATTGGATATTTTACTTGTTTATTCATTTGTATGTGTTGAACTATCCTTGCATTTCTGGGATTAATTCCACTTTTTCATGGTGAAGGATCTTTTCACTGTGCTACTGAATTCAGTTTACTAGTAATTTGTTGAGGATTTTTGTATCTGTGTTCTTCAGGGATATTGGCCTATAGTTTTCTTCTTGTATCTTTTCTGATTTTGGCATCAGGGTAATTCTGGCCTCAAATAATGAGTTTGAAAGAATTCCCTTCCTTTCTATTTTTTGAGAATAGCTTGGGAAGAATTGGTTAGCTCTTCTTTAAATGTTTGGTAAAATTTAGCAGTGAAGCCATTAGGTTCTAGGCTTTTTTTTTTTTCAATGGGAAACATTTTATTACTGATTCAATCTTATTACTCATTATTGTCTGCTCAGGTTTTGTATTTCTTCATGATTCAATCTTAGCATGTTGTATGTGTCCAGGAACTTATTCATTTCTTTTAGAGTTTCCAATTCATTGGCATGTAGTCATTTATAACAGTCTCTTATGATCCTTTGTGTTTCTGTGGTATGAGTTGTAATGTCTTCTTCTTTATTTCTGATTTTATTTATTTGAGTCATCTATCTTTTTTTCTTAGTGTCTTAGTCCATTTTTTTGTTGCTGTAACAGGAAACCACATGCTGGGTAATTTATTTACAAAAGAAATTTATTTCTGACATTTCTGGAGGCTGGGAAGTTCAAG